GAGTCTAAACGGTTGTAATGAAGAGAGTTTGCGAACAATACCAAGGAAGAGCAAAAAGGCCAGAGGGAGTTTGACGAGATTTCAAGAAGTCAATGGGTCAAGTCTCAGGTGACTCGAGGTCAAGAAGCTGCACAAAGAGGTATGATGAGGGAAAGCATTACCGAGAAGGAGGAAAAAGAGAAGTTACCTTATCCAAGGTTCCCCACTCTGAGTGGGAGCGACATAGTAGGAGGGCTCCAGAGGAGACAACTGGTTAAGGATGAAGCAGGCACTCTTAGTTAAGCCACTAAGAATCCTAACTAAGAGACTAAGTTTATGTACAAGATCGAGCAACAAAAGAGACAGGGAATGAGATTATGTTAAAGGTTACCAAGGGCAAGCCACCATTGGAAGTTGTGAACTAAAACAACAACGAGGAGATACTGAACAGAGGTTGGTGACCAAGTATAGTACAACAACAGAAGAGTTGTAGTTTGGTGGTAGTAAAAGTAAAGAAGCAAGAAGAACACCATGGGAAGTTACAGAAAAAAAAAGTGGTTGGCATCAACCTGGCGATGTATGCGTCAAGGAAGATAGTTAAGACGGGCGGAAGCAGGCAACAGACAACAAGAAAGCATTAAGTTGACTACCAACGGAGAACGAGTGATCCATAGGAAGTCCATCAAGAAAATTCCGATCAGTTTTAAGGTGGAATCAAGGTCGTCAAGAATAATGGGAGGGAAAACCTTGTAGGCCAAAGTACATAAGAGAGAAGAGGATATGAGAACCTGGAGGATTACGTCGTGAACAAGGGACACTTAAAACTAGAAAGGAACATCAAGAAGAAGAGTCACGAGTAACGAAGTATGAGGGATATAAGTTTAGGGAACCTGCTAGAATACCCCAAATTGAAACCAAGATCGCCTATGTTGGTGAAAGGTGTCAATCTCTTGGGTAAAACTCTATTGGACTAGGAAACCATACAAGGAATTTCAGCTAGGATCTAAGAGTAGCAGAATGGATAGTACGAGAACTTCAAATTCAGGCGGCGATAAGGAAGTGCTAAGTTAGGCGCCAGAAGTGAACAAGTGAGCCAAATGGAAGGTCATGACTCTTGAAAGGAGTCATAAATTTTCTGGCAAGGTAGAGAGAGATGCAAAGGATGCCTCTTATGCCTACAGAAAGTAAAAGCAGTAGTATGATGTTTCAACGCTAAGCAACAAGTAACGAGGAGATGACCATTCAATGTATGGTTAAAGGGTAAGACGAGACAAAAAAATAAGAGATGCAAATTTAGGAGTTACAAATCCTCGTAGTAAAAAGGATTACCACAAGCAAGACTTGGGGCAGTCACAACGACAAATTTCGAGGGAAAATTTTCTATAAGTGGGGAGGAAATGTGATACTTCGACTCCGATTTAAGGGCCAACAACGAGTGTTGAAGGAGCTGGACCAACAAAGTGAATCGATAATTTTGTTCCATCACCAGATGGGGGAATTAAAAAAGGGACAAGTAGCCACTCAAAGCTACTCGATGCTAACGAGCAAGTTGAGAATACCTCCCATGCCCAAAAAGGAAATATAAAACGTCAGGTAAACTATACGGGAAAAGCAATGGAAATCATCGATGTTCGTATAGCAGGAGTAAATTCTCGAGGCAAAGAAGACCAGGAATGAGGGGAATGAGAGAATTAGTCCGAGCAAATTTCGGGGACGAAATTTTTATAAGGGTGGAGGAAATGTAACACCCCGATATTTGGATCTCGGTTCGACCGAACGATTTATTCGACGATTTCGTACGAAGAGTTGGAACCATGAATTAGAAATAATAATAATAACATTAAAACTAATGTTATTATTATTATTATCATCATCACCTCAATAATCACCATTACTCGCCAATTCCCCATCAGTAACAACAACTCATAATTAGGATTATTATTATTATAATCATCTTTTCCCTCCACCCACTCGTATGCCCCAGCGACACCAGGAAAGAAGGAGATAAATATTAAAAAAGGATAAATCCCAAGACCCATTACTCTTCCCCAACCCAACGGTTCCCCAGTAATTTCCATTACCACCCCGACTTCTCCCTTAACTCATCGAATCCTTTTTAATCACCCCACCGAGAGTAGCAGCGGAATCATAAAGAAAATAAGAAACTCGTCGCCCAACACCCCACCCTCCTCCATCGACAGCAGCAAACGGAAGAAGCTGCTCGGCCAGCCTAGCAAAACCGACGTCAACAGTAGTCCTACCCCGATCGCCCAACCTCAACGCTTAAATCATCACCGTCGCTCTCGAAATTTCCACGTTGTGTTGTAGAGGTAAGGTTCTCGATCCCCACTGTCCCCAAGCAAGATCATTATACCCCGAATAACCCGAAACACCGCTTTAATCGTAGCTCCGTCGACGACCCCGACGTAGTCGACCACAACCAACCTTCGATACCTTGATACCATCGTGTGAAGGACGATCTCAGGAACATCCAAGTTTTGACGAAATTGAATTTACTTAAACACTTAACTTTGACTAGTGGAAGTTGTTTGTACTTCCAATCTTAACTCTTAAACTTTGAGGGAGTTGAAGTTACTCTCCTCTCTTAAAGCTCAAATCTTGACTTGAATATTTGACTGACACGGGGATCCCTCACTAGCTAGTCTGGTTGCCAACTCATATGTATGAGAAGCCATCCAGGCTTTCCTTAAACTTAAACTTAGTTAGGGGAGTCGTAACGATTCATCCCCCTAACATCTTAAACTTATAGTGGTGGCTCTTCACCACGATTCTCAAGAGCATAACTGCTGCTCATCTCAAAAGTCTCAAGAGCATAAATGCTGCTCTATCTCAAAATGTCTCAAAAGGCAACGGACTGGCGCTAGTGACTAAAAACACTTAAAATGACTTCACCTTCTGGAAGGTGAGTTACTTCTTAAAAAGAACTTGTTTCTTAAACTTTAACCATAACTTTAAAACGTAAAGCTTTAAAGTAAATAATAACTCATGCACATTCACTTCAAACATATCTCAAACAAAATCACATATCGCCAATCATAAACACAATCAAGCAATAACAATCACTTCATCAAATACTTAAAGCTCGTCAAACTTGAAATAATACGTAAGACGTAGAATTTACCCCCTTCACACTCACCTCGAATCCGTTGAAACAAACTCTGATTATGCTATAAAATTTCCATATTTGATCCCGAAATATTCTCCTCACTTTCACGATTACATAGGCGCAGACGGTTCCTCGATCGGACGTCAATTGATCGAGTTATGGTAAAAACAAACATTCTGTTAGTTTTCAAAGTACCAGGTACCAATTTGGTAAATTTCCAGTCAACGAGTTGACCACCACCTCTTCGGAAATTTACAAAATAATCCTCTAATTTTTGGAATAGAAAGAATCGGTACCTGAACTATTCGATTTGCGTCCCAAACTTTCGAGGCTCGTATCTTCCTCGTCGGACGTCGAAATTCAATTTCGTCAAAACTTGGATGTTCCTGAGATCGTCCTTCACACGATGGTATCAAGGTATTGAAGCTTGGTTGTGGTCGACCATGTCGGGGTCGTCGGCGGAGCTGTGATTAAAGCGGCGTTTCGGGTTATTCGGGGTATAATGATCGAGCTTGGGGACAGTGGGGATCGGGGACATTACCTCTACAACACAACGTGGAAATTCCGAGAGCGACAGTGATGATTTAAGTATTGATGTTGGGCGATCGGGGTAGGACTACTGTTGACGCCGGTTTTGCTAGGCTGGCCGAGCAGCTTCTTCCGTTTGCTGCCGGCGATGGAGGAGGGTGGGGTGTTGGGCGACGAGTTTCTTATTTTCTTTTTGATTCCGCTGCTGCTCTCGGTGGGGTGATTAAAAAGGATCCGATGAGTTAAGGGAGAAGTCGGGGTGGTAACGGAAATTACTGGGGAACCGTTGGGTTGGGGAAGAGTAATGGGTCTTGGGATTTATTCTTTTTTTATATTTATTTCCTTCTTCTTTCCTGGTGTCACTGGGGAATACGAGTGGGTGGAGGGAAAATATGATTATTATAATAATAATCCTAATTATGAGTTGTTGTTACTGATGGGGAATTGGCGAGTAATGGTGATTAATGAGGTGATGATGATAATAATAATAATAACATTAGTTTTTAATGTTATTATTATTATTTCTAATTCATGGTTCCATCTCTTCGTACGAAATCGTCGAATAAATCGTTCGGTCGAACCGAGATCCAAATATCGGGGTGTTACATAAATAAAAAACATTAAAGCAGATAAAACTCATTCTCGATCCTAAACTCGTCAATAGTGTGTTCAACTCATTTGTTCGGGTCGAACCGAGTTTTTAACAAATTCACACTCGACCCAACCTGCCAACTACAAAAGTGGATAAAACTCTCTCCAGATACAAACTTGTCAATACCCATGGATTTGAATAAATTGTCATTCTTAACCAAAAGAAAAAGAGAAATTAAAAAATACGAAAGCCAGATTCAGGTCGCTTTGACTAGGTCAAGTTAAGATGGATACTCATGAGTTTGAGTTCAATTATCATGATAAACCAAAAGGGAAAAAAGAAACAAAAAAGAAACACTAAAATGAATGAAACTCGGTCGTGATACAAATCTCGTCATCACATAACATATATGGTATGGATATTCGGTATCGGCCTTGGAAAATGATGGAGGGGACAACTTAAGATTCTGCCAACATTGTTTAAATAAGGGTTTGAATTGGTGGAAGAAGGCGGGATTGGACAGAGTAGATCTGATATGGATCTTCAGTATTGACAGTGGCAAACAATGGAAGAAGGGGATAACTTAGCTTCGCATCTGGGCTCTAGCTTAACCTGCCAATTACAAAAGCAGATAAAACTCGCTCCCGGTTGAAAACTTGTAATCATCAGGTTCAAGTCGCTTTGACCGGATCAAATGAGTTTGGATACCCATGTATTTGGTTTCAATTTTCATCCTCAACCGAAAGGAAAACGTTAAATAAAAAAATTAAAGCAATGCTAGCTAAATGGCTGTGGAGATTCGCGACGGAAAGAAATAGCTGGTGGAGGGAGTTGATCGAGATTAAATACCCAAACCCCCGATCGATTTGGCAGACTGATTGTGCTCGTAATGGTTTCTCCCACTCGGTGTGGGCGAATATATCTAAGGTCTACGACTTATTTTGGAAGTTCTCCTCAATGGATCCGGGAAATGGCACCTCTATCTCCTTCTGGTATGATGTTTGGTCTCCTGGGACGGTGTTGGCTGAAGCCTTTCCTCGTGTCGCCGCTGCTGCTGCCGACCCCAATGCCAGCCTCTCCGACGTGGCCTCGTGTGACGACGGGATGGTGAGATGGTCTCTTAACCTTAAATATTCTTTGAGAGGGGGGGGGGGGGGGGAGTGAGAGAGTGCAGTTGTTAAATTTTCTTCAAAATCTGGAGGGGTTTAAGCTTAACTCTAGTCCATGTAGAATTATGTGGAATCCTGACAACATTTGTAAGTTTTCCGTGAGCTCTTGTTACAGGCAGGTGTCGAAGGGATTGTTCATCGGTGTCCAAGACTTGCCGGCTAAACAGATTTGGAGAGCAGTCATTCCCGGGAAAGTGTGTTTCTTTTTGTGGCTCGCTTATCACAATAGGATTCTCACTATCGACAACTTGATGAAACGAGGATGGACGTTGGTAAATAGATGCACGCTATGATGCCAAGAAAATGAATCGGTGATGCATGTTTTGGTGGATTGCGAATTCACAAAAGATGTTTGGAATTTCCTCCGCAGAAAAAAAAAACGGAGTTGGGATTCAGGGGGAGGGACATAAGCTCTGTTGTCAAAAATACTCCTCTGTCTGAGCCTGTGGATGTTGGTGGCTGGTTCTTGAGCTGCATTCTACATGCTGTATGGTGGGGAGTGTGGCTTGAGAGAAATCAACGGATCTTTGAAGAGAAGGCGTCGTGCGCTTCCGTGGTGGCTAAGAAAGCGGCAAGGCTCTCTCTATGGAATGGTTGGTTGCGTTCAGTAAAGTGGAGAAAACACAGGGTGAGAATTGGTTGAAAGAGGGTCTGCTTGTCACTTAATTGCCCGTGGTTTGGCCAGGCTATGACTTAAGTGCGAGTGGTGGCTGATTGATCGGAGGGTGTTCTTCTTGGCATCAATGTCTGGAGGGGGGATGTTCGTTTTGTGCTCGGCTTTTTGGGCTGCTGGTTTTCCTGTTTTTAGTGTTGGTGTTGTCTTGGTGCTGGGTAGCCTTTGTAGTCTGTTCCAACAGAAGAGGTCCGGTCCACTGAGTAGCTTTCATTCTTGTTCCTCCCTTTTGGTGTTCTGTTTCCTTTTTCTCATTTTGTGTTTCGCCTTCTGTTGGGTGGGCGCTGGGTTCATTGCTTGTGAACCAGGACCTTTGTCTGTTCCTTTTCATTTTCATATCAATGCATCTTCGCCATTATAAAAAAAAAATTAAAGCAAATAAAATTTGCTCCCGACCCAAAATTCTCAACTCCGGGTTCAACTCGCTTTGACCAGGTCGAACAGAAATTTTAACAAATTCGCACTTGACAAAACTTGCCAATTACAAAAACGAATAAAAGTCGCTCTCGATACAAAACTTGTTAACATACGGTCTGGTTTAATTGTCATTCTCAGCCAAAAGAAAAAAAAAGAGAGAAAAAATAAAGCAGATAACACTGGCTCTCGATCCAAAGCTCATCAACACCGTGTTCAAGTTATATTGACCGGTTTGAATTGAGATTTTAACAAGTTAACACATGATCCAACCTGACGACCATAAAAATGGATAAAACTCGCTCCCGATTCAAAACTAGTCAATACCATGAATTTGGTTCAATTTTCATATTTAACCAAAAGAAAAAAGAGAAATTTTTTAAAAAATACTAAAATTGGATTCAAGTCTATTTGACTGGGTAAAATTTGGTTATATACCCATGGGTTTGAGTTCAAGTATCTTGCTTAACCAAAAGGAAAAATAGAAACAAAAAAGCACGAAAGTACATACTCAGTCCCGATACGAAACTCGTCATCACAAAGCATATTTTGAATGGATCTTCAGTAGGGGCCTTGGAAAACGGTGGTGGGTGAAAACTTATAATTTCGCTGACAGTATTTCGAGAAGGTTGTGAATCGGTGGGCGATGGCAAGGATTGGACATAGTAGATCTGGGGAATACGTTAGCGTTGTTACTCAATTTTGAGTAACCACGATGACTACCAAAATCTACACCCTTCATTACTTCTATTTCACTCTATTTTAAAATTAACGATAGAGATGAGATTAGGGTAATCTTGAAAACCAAAAATATACCACACGTAATTATTATCTTTTAAAAATGAATTTCTATATATTATAACCAAATCCTATTGCTACCTACTTTCTCTCCGGCAAAGCTCCCGCCACTAGGGATGGCAATGGGCCGGGTTGGGTTGAGTTTTTCCATACCCAAACCTATGGGTGTACCCACAAAAAAAAAAAAAAGAATAAAATCTATTAGGTTTGGAAAACTCAGACCCAACCCAACACGTTGGATATCCGCGGGTTCATGGATTCCCATGGATTTTGTGGTAAAAAATGCACAATAACAAGTTTATGTCAAAATAAAAGTCTAACATCAAGTTTCTCATTCAAATTATCCATACAAAAAACACCAATGTAGAGCATACAAGTAAAACCACAAATTATCCATACAAATTGTTCAACATGAGAGATAAATATCTATAAACAACATGATTAATTAAAAGCTTCTTCATACTTGTCAACTAAACTTCTTCACTCTCCATTCCATAATATCAATTTCATTCTACACAATTAGAAAGAATAAATTAGATATGTTTCCACAAACATAAAGAAGATTAGTTACTTAAGGAAGATATATTGCTTAGAATATTAAATATATCGGGCAAATCAATTATATAGGTGTGGGTGGGTATCCACAGGGAGGGTATACCTAAACCCAAGCCCAAACCTAACCCAACCTTGTGAACAGTGTAACGAGTTTAAACTCAAACCCAACCCAAAATTCGTCAACACGGGTTTTTCCTGCGTTGACCGGGTTCACGAATTGGATCAGGTAGTGTACCCCTAGGTTCGGATTTTGTTGACATCCGTACCTGCCGCCATCCCTCCCTCTTTACCTGTCTCCTCCCATCGCCTGTCTCTCTCACCCCACACACTCTGCCTCCCCGCCCCTCAATTCAATAGCTGAACACATATATTGTAAAATGAGAGAAGGAGGTGAAAGAAGACAGTTGGAACTTTCCTACTTGTGGGGAGTTTGGAGCTACTACCCAACCTTAGTTTTTAGGGTAAAAACAATATATTAACCAGTTATATGTAGTAGTATGTAGGAAAACAGTTATGTAATGTTCTATTCCAGTTGAGTTTTAGCAGTGTATGGTTGTGTAAAAAACAAGCAAAACTTCAACTCCTTGCTACGAAACACTGCAATTGACAATTCGTGGGTCAATGCAATTACCATAACAAAATATTGAGTTACATCTGTACTGTTTGGGACAAACTAAATCGAGCCTTTACAAAATGCAAAATATTGTGAACCAAAGGGAATCACCTTACAAGCTCAATTGACATTGTTCCACAACGTTAGATAATTCCGTTGTGTTTGGGATAAGATCAATTGAGTTTGTACAAAATGTAAAATGTGGTGAACCAAACTGACATCACCTTACAAGCTCAATTTGAATCCTCCTCCCTATTAACATACTGTTCTATAGACAAAAGCTAAAGTAACCACAAAGACACATTCTACACACAAGTCTTCAATTTGCGTCTTCTTGTGATTGAAGCTCTAGTTGAGTTGAAGGAGCTCCATTTGTATCAACCAGAGTTAGTTGGATTCCAAGTCCATCTGCAGAAGTACCAGCTCCAACATTTCCATATATAGAATCAGCCCTTAGAGCAGCCCTAAGTTCTCCATCAACAACCAAATTCCTGTGCAGGTTCCCAACTCCTAATGTCTACATCAAGAAAACAAGGCCAAAGTCAGATTGTGCACTCCATCACAAGTAACGAATGCTTAAATTGATCAAGAGAAACATACAGGTTCTTGTCTCTTATCTGGACAACTTTTAGCAATATGGGACGTTGACCGACAGTGAGAGTAGTGCATGACCCTTTAAGGACACCACATGAAACAAACATCAAATATCAGACACAATAATTACACAATGTTCAAACTAAAACATCAACTACTTCCATACCTTTGGTCGAGCTGATGGACCATCCTGCTGCCCTCTCCCTCTGACCTGCTGGTCTCTGGTTCTGGCGAGGTTTTCTCCAGATTGATTACCTCCAGTATGGAAGATCATACACCAACTCCTTAGGTTCATCATCATCTATTCCTCGCAGAATTATGTGGGTAGAAGCTAATGCTTCTTCCGGAAGGTAGTCTTCATCACCAGCTCCCACAAATGTATGAGGTTGGTTTACCACTTCACCAGAACTATAATCTGGAGTGTTGTCCGAATTGTTGGCATGAACAACATCCCCCTCTTCTTCATCAAATGCCTCGATGTTATCAGAGTCATCCACATTTAAGATGTCCCTAGCAGCAGACCCCTCTCACACATCCTGTGGCTCAACACCAAAAGCCCCTAGAATCACTTCTGCACTCTCGTTGTCCCCCATGAAACCATTTTCTCTCTCAATAAACTCAGCATACATAGACATTGTCCTAGTCTTAGCTGCATCAACAGGAAAGTCCTCCATCACTTCCTTATCAGATCTCACTTCATGGAGGCCATCTAACATAGTGGATCCCGGTGTCAGGTACCAAATCTTACGGACGCCTTCATAGTCCAAGTGCACCGTAGCTAATGCAACTAGTCCAAAATATGAGACTTGATCAACATCAACGTTGAACTTCTTGCAAAATACAGGTGCATGGTAATCAATCCCCACATATATAATCATCTGCATGGTCAAGTAAAATACAGGTCGTTATAGTGTTTGTAAACAAAAGACACAACAAATGACAAGAACAAAAGACCAAACAACAAAAAGGAAGGACTTTTTCGAAAGATGCAGCCAACAACAGTTAAATATTCCCATTCACATGTGTTGGTTGTTAAAAGATGAGACAATTTGATTACCTCCCACTGCAATTGACGATTATATCCACAAATTACAAATTCTTTCACGTTCATACAAGGGCAATCTCGTGAACAATCCGCAAAGGTCCCACTGTGGTCCTCGCAAACAACTTGCACGACCAATTTCAAAGAATCTAGAATCGAACTAGTCTATAAATACTGGAGAACATGGCTAGATTCGACAAACCCAAAATCATCAGAATGAGTGATGTTTGAATTAGAGAAACCCTAAACATTGAAAACCTAATTTCGACAGACTCCAGTTCAGAGCCACCTTACCTTGGTCAAGTTCGAATCGTCCCTTGCGACTTCGTTTATCTGCCCAAAGTCGTCGCGCTTCGACAAAACCCAGGTGAGAGTTGCGCTCCTTGCCCGAGTCAGATAGAGTTCCAGTGGCGCTTTGAGTTCATGAAATAGGGAGTGTACGGGGGGACTTTCACAGGCGATGGCAGTCTCACCGCCTAGCCTACAAGACTTTGATAGAATCCTCGCCGACGACGGTCTTTGATGGTTTTCGAAGAGAAAGGGGGAGGGAGACAGACGAGATGAGGGGTTGAGGATAAGGTTGGTGAGTGAGTGAGTGGAGAGGGTAAATAGTTACTTTTCTTTCTTCACTTTTTTTGGTTTTTACCAAATTAGTCCAGACCACGTAGGCGGCCACGTGTTTTTTCCACCTCATCGCTTTGACGCCAGGTCAGCATTGTGCAAAGACAAATAACGGCTCATTAACGGAGAACTAACAGATAGCTAATAATTTGTATATTGATAGTTATGACTATAATTCCCCAGAACTTAATAGTTGTGGCTAATATATTTTTTTGACCCTAGATTTTATATAACAAAATAATAAGGAAAAATTCACGTGCATAGCCATAAATACACACTTTTTGACAATAATAGCCACTTTTTGAAAAATACACTAAAATAGCCACATTTTTAAAACCTGTTTGACAAATTTAGCCATTTCCGTCAAATACTTTGACGGTGTTAATGGCTTCCATCAGTTAAGTTGATGTGTGATAAACCCCTAGACAGGGTTTCAGATCAAAGTTACGCAGCCAAGAGGTCTAGAACCTCGAATTTTTGTCTCGAACTAGAACACTCACAAAACAGGGTTGGTTTTGTGGTTTAGATGGTGAGTTTTCGTGCAACTTTCACACGAGAAAGAGGCTCGAAACCTTTAGGTCGATGCTTGGCCACGATCAGGGTGATGAACTGATCGATACAAGCTCACAATTGCTTGGAATCCTCCAAGCAATCAAACTCAATTCCTCCAGCAACTAGCGAGATGAATCAAAGTTCAACTTTGTATTCAATTGATAAAAAAAAAACTCCCTATTACAATGTAGACGAATGTTAAATAGGCTAGCTAATCTTACCACGCAAGTAAAGATCTTCCTAAACAGGCTATAACTCAAATAAACACGAATTCTAATTGGAAAAGGAAATTACAAACAAACAGCGGCTAGAATCCTAATCCGTCTCGGATTCGGATTGCTCTTCCTCCACCCGTGTCAATACGAACTTGTGGCTGCTCGATCGAACACCTCCAGGGATCAAACCCTTCACCCAATCCCACGTCTTTGTAGAAGGAGATACGTACTTTCATGAATGCCAAGCCCAGCACCTCGACTCTCCTTCCTGCTCCTCGACGAGAGCTCCAAGATGACTCCTCGCTCACACTTCCACACTTAGCCAATTCTGACAGTTTTTCTAGGATTGAGCTAGTAGGTTGATCACTCTGAAATCCCAGCTTCTGGTACTCCCCTTGAGCTCCAAAGCCTACCATTTGAAAGAGCAACTCTTCTTCTTTGATAGAAACCCGCTTATTTGGGTTTCTAACGATTTACGTAACCAGATAATTTAGAAAGGGATTTAGGGATTGAGAATAGAAATTAGGGATTAGGAGAAGAATTGGGGATTTGAAAAAGAACGGCCGAGGCCTTTGAGGAAGAAAGACAGACGAGGTTGAGCGAAAACATAATAGGGTTTTGGGACATAATTCTTTTACTGATATCTGCTTAATCGAACAAAAGCCCCAAAGTACATATTTATAGCTTAAGACTGGGAAAACCTAATAAACTATCCTAATTTGACTCAAATACTACTAACCATATCTAATAAAATCCTAATATTAATAATAATGATAATTATAATAGACCTAGAAATTAGGTTTCTATCATCCCCTTCCCCTTGAGACCAACCTTGTCCTCAAGGTTGCAAATCAACTTCCCGTTCTCGAACTTCTTCTTTCTTCGCTTCCAATTGCGCTCAGTCTCACGATTGAATTCTTTTCCAACATCTTCAAAGTCTCTTGACTTCTCTTCCACCTCGTGACACATGTCACGTTCCCTATCGCCAAACAATTCGTCCTCCTCTCTTTCGAAATCTATGAAATAAGAATCGGAGAATTTTTCTTCTTGGAGCTCCTTATCACTAACCGGCTTGAAATCTTCAAGGAAATACTCCACAAATTCCTCAACGGGCTTGGCGGTGAAAACAAGCTCTAGCTTTTGCCAACCTCCTCTTCCTTTATCTTTGACTTGGCCCATAAATTTTTGGGAGGCAGAGATGTGGCCCAGCCCAAGGTTAAGTCCTTTGCTCCATTTGTCTCCCAACTTGATTGTGTCTAACTCCTTTGAAAGCCCATCCGACTTCCTAAGAGCTCCTTCCACTCCTGCCTTCTTCAAATCACAAGCAACATTGGGCTTAAGCACTTCCTGAAACGATCCAATTTCCTCTAGTCTCAGCCCGTACTCCACTTCTTCCTCGGCCCGCTCCGTTTGTTCAAGTCCAGCGTCATCAATCATTTTCTTTCGAGCATGTCTGCCCTCCATGGAATCAGACTTACCTCTTTGTTTTGGTATGCCCATTCCTAGTTTCTCTGGCCCGATCATTGGTCCATGCCAAGCAAAATCCGGCCCATGCTCCAAACCATCAAGCTCGGTGATCCGAACGGCAGCGCGGCCCAAGAACTCGGTCCTGACCCGACCCACTCGTTGTTGCTGCTGCTCCCCGACCCGAGTCGATGACCTGGGGCTCGCAAACAGAGTGGCGCTGCTCTCCTTCTTCTCCACGGTCGACATCGCCGAGAGAGAAGTCGTTCGCTGCTTCCCCGTCTTCGTCCTCGACAACTCCCTCATCAGCGGTTCCTCCCTCGCCATCTTTTCTGGCGGCGCCATCATCGACGAGTTCGTCAAGTGGCTAGGAGGCAGGGCCGACTCAGCGCTTCTCCTCTCTGCCTCGATCGACTTTTGTCGGAAGGGAGAGCAACCGTCGCCTCGTTCCTCATTCTCCTTCGACTCTCCTGGCGGCGCGCCAGATTCCTTCCTCAGAGACGGGGGTTCGTCCTCAATCGGGAGAGAGAAAGAGTCGCTGCCCTCTTCCATCTTCTTCTTCCTCGTCGCACCGGGTGCCTTTGCCGGCGATTCCCTCTTCGCCAACGGTGCGCGAGGAGACACACCGCCTCCGTCTTCCTTCTCCATTTTCGGCGGCCAACAGCTCATCCGACGACGACGCGGCGAGCCCCGCTCCGCCATCGCCTTCAACTTCCAGTTCGTCGTTGCTTCGAGGAGCACTGCACTGCCCCCCTCCGTCGCTCCGCTTCCCGGATCTGCCTCCCTGGTCTTCGTCGCCGTCACTCCTACTCGCGAAACCGGCGAGGAATCGCCCAGCTGCCAGCACGGCGACGCTCGCTCTCCCTCTCCTTTTACTTCTTCTTCTTCTTCGACTTCGTAGGGAGGTGGTATGGTGGCTGGCGGAACGGTGATTGGAGGTTCCGTCTCGGCTTCATAGCCCGACTTCTTGGTGGTGGAGACCGAAGTCAACTAGTCATGCATCATTGCGGAGGGTGCCGAAAGCTGCTGCTGTTGATCTCCAAAGTTCTTTGCGGCCGGATCTTTTTCTTCGGCGGCAGCGGGGACAATTACGACAGGGATTTTCGTCTCGGGTGGAGGGAATGACCTCGCAGCAGTGGTGGTTGGTGGCATGGCTCGCCGAGGCGAGGTTAGGGGTCGTTTCAATTTCTCCACCAATAGCCGCCAATCCTCGTCTCTCTTCTCAGCATCTTGTATGCTTTTCTCCAAAACTTTCATTGCCCGCTCACAGCAGACTTGCATTTGGTAGATCATGTCCCCGGTTACGAGTTGTGATGAATTCAGATTCGTGACCATGGCTCTGATACCAAATGATAGAAACCCGCTTATTTGGGTTTCTAACGATTTACGTAACCAGATAATTTAGAAAGGGATTTAGGGATTGAGAATAGAAATTAGGGATTAGGAGAAGAATTGGGGATTTGAGAAAGAACGACCGAGGCCTTTGAGGTAGAAAGACAGACGAGGTTGAGAGAAAACATAATAGGATTTTGGGAGATAATTCTTTTACTGATATCTGCTTAATCGAACAAAAGCCCCAAAGTACATATTTATAGCTAAAGACTGGGAAAACCTAATAAACTATCCTAATTTGACTCAAATACTAGTAAGTACTAACCATATCTAATAAAATCCTAATATTAATAATAATGATAATTATAATAGACCTAGAAATTAGGTTTCTATCATTCTTCCACACAGGCCAAAGATCTCGAATTTCCATCACACCAATCAAGAGTTATGCTTGTCCAAAGTGGGTACCCGAAATCGTCATAAACACTTAGACAAAAATCAAAGTTCTTAAACGTGCCTAGCTTGCCTTCATGATCGATCAATTCCAGTAGTTTTAAGGGCCAAATTGAGATCATATCAATGTGGATGCCACCTGGACGACACATCATGTCCACCTAGATCCACCATGCCACATGGACACCACATCAACGCCAAATCATCATTTAAATGCCACATCATATTTGAATACAACAAAATAATTAATATTTTTTCCAAAGAATATGGAAAATCCCTCGTCGTCTTCCTTTTCCTCTTCCTTCCTTTTCCCTCTCTCATCTCTGAAACAACCATCTCCACTTGCTTCAGAAAACCCAAAAGTTGTTCCTCCATTCAACTCCTCTAGACTTCCCTTCACTCCCTTCCTCTTTTTTCTTTAATTATAAAATACAATAGCAGCAATAATTCTGAGTCAACAACCGAATCATGGTTCCTCCTTTACCCTTTGCTGCAATTTTCTTCCTTTTTTGTATCACTAAAAAAACCCTTCATCCTCAGATTTATGAAGTTTTCCCATTCTGCAGATCAATGAGTAACTCCGGTTGGATTTTTTCTTTGGGGACAGGGGAGTTGAAGATTGGTATAGGAGAGGTCTAATCTAGCCTCTTTTCATTGGCGGGAGCTTGGTGGTTGTGTGTGATTTTGAGCGGATCTGAAATAGGAGAGCAGCGGCGACGAAAATTGAAGTCGAGCAGCTCTTGTATGGAGGGGAGGCAGCAGAGAGTCGGAGGTAAAAACGGCGTGCGGCGGAGATGAGGGTTGTGTCAGACGCTTGGATATCTTGGCGTGCGGCGGAGATGAGATAAAAACCACTGTTGTCACTTGCTTCCGCTACTGGAATGCAGAATCGCAATGAAGGTAGCGGCGACGGTGGATAGTTTGCGGGTGAGGACGCTGAGGCAGTGGAGATTGGAGATGGTGGAGGAAGATAGGCGAAGGGATTTGGGATTTTTTTTTCCGCGGTAGAGAGTTTCACTATAAATAATTGGTTTTTCTTTTATTTATTTTTTGTTTTTGTTCAAGTAATTATAAATAAGAAAATCATTTTCCACCTGTCACGGTTTTTGACGAAAGATGCCAAATCAGCAAAAAATCGTTAGTCTAGTCAGCAACTATGCTAATTCCGTTAAAGCTATAGACGGAATGGCTATTTTAGTGTATTTTTCAAAAAGTGGCTATTATTGTCACAAAGCTGATAGTTTTGGCTATCTAGGTGTATTTTGCCAAATAATAATAGTTTTCTAGAAATATTTACACCATATTTGGTTACACCATATATATTAGGTGGCTAATATAGGGGTCGTTTGCTTCAAGGATTTGGTACATAGATTTGGTACCAAAAAACCAACTATCAAGGATTTAGGTACAATCCGTTGTTTGCTTGCACCTTTTTTGGAGACCAAATTCGTGGGGCCCACGAATTTTAATGGTCCAAATCCGTGGACCCCACGGACTTATAAATCCCACATGTTGATGTGGGATTTGGAATATGGCATAAATCCTTGATGAGATTTTACCCATATACCCTCATGCACTTTTAATATTCCAAGGTTGCCCTCAAATTTAACTATTATACATTATAATTAACAATAAATGAATAATATAAACGTTCAATTAATGTGCAAACATGAGTTAGATTTTTTATATCATTTCTTGTGTTCTAGTTTTCTTTGACCTTTTCATGGAACGTGTAATTCTTTGTTCTCCCGATTCTAATATATGTTGTTATATGTCACTTTTGAAAAGGAGGACAAAGAATTGGTAATTGATTATGTTACGTTAAAAGTTAAAACAGAATTTTCTCGTTTATTATTATTGTCCATGTGGCAACATTATGCTTATTAGTATGTATTGTCCTTATTTTGTGTACATATCATAAACATGTCAAACATATAGAAAATGATAGTAAGGTAATTTTGAAGTTTTGTCCTTGTTTTGTGTACATATCATAAACATGTCAAACGTATAGAAAATGACAGTAATGTAATTTTTGAATTCAAGTAGTAAATCCCACACCTTTAAATCCATGATAAAAACATCCCAACAAACAAAGGATTGTTACAAATCGATGATGCCTCAAATTCTTGATAAATCCTTGGGTTTTTAAATTACAAAACCCTCATTTTTAAATCTATGAAGCAAACGACCCCATATTGTTGCAACACTATTTAGAACTCTCCATTATCAAATATTTTGCAGTTTATTATTTTTAAACCTCTCCAAAATACACGCGGTCTTAAACTCTCATAACCGAAACCCATCAATTCCAAAATTAGCACAAATTAACGATATCCTAAGGAAGCGATTAGAACATCCCAATATCCTCATTCAAGTTCAAGTTCAAGTTCATGGCTACCACGGGTCTCGTAGGGACTAAACAACAGTGCCTTCTTCAAACGACTCCTCCCTTTTGTTATTCCTCATCTTCTCAATCTCTCCCATAATCCTCTGCATTTCTTCGTTCAGATGCTTGGTGGGCCGAGGTTCGGTGTCAAGTACTGAACTTGTACCAAAATTGCAATCTGCAGCATCTTCTTCCTTCTTCTTCTTGTCTTCCTTTCCACCACCATAATCATCAACTCTTCCTTCCAGAATGCTCTTGATTTGTTCCTTGAAGAACAGCTCTTGGAAATCCATCTGACCAAATCACATTACAGAGTCGGATTAAATTGCAATCACTTAATTTCTTTACTTCCACACCTTAATGATCCCACTAAATGATTTTTGTTAAAAAGACCAGATCTTTGCTTACCGCTTCCGTACTCTCCTGATGCTGCAACTGGATTTTAACCCTGAGCACTCTGACTTCCTCCTTGGCCATCCTCAGCTTCTCCTCCAGTTCCACGTCACAGTCAGACCGGGAACCGCCACGTTGCGGCGGCGAGCGATTGGCCTGGAAATGTCTGCGATTGGTGCTGGCGCCGGAGTACTGATGATCCTTAGGAGCCCATATTTCCTTGTGTAGCTTCCTGTTGGTCTTCCCCTTCTTCTCGTACCAGTTGTTGACCCGCTTCCCGCCGCCAGAATTGACGTTTATGTGGTGGTCGAGGATGGGCAACGTCGCTGCTTCCATGGCCACTGTGTTTTTGTTATATTGGTGATCGAGACGGCTTTCGATGGATGTTTTAAGAGATTAAGCTGCCGCAATTGCCATTTGCCGTCGCCCCTCCCCAATTTAAGGGAGTGTATGATCGAGTGAACTTGGCGTTGAAGTAGTTTGGGGAAAAGTAATTGTTTACTGGCTGATTACTTAGCCAGAAACAGTGTTCATGGCTGCTTCGAATTCTGTTTACTTATTCTTCTCCCCTGTTCTGTTACATTTACTTATGATTTATCTTTTTTGCCAGCGAGTGGGACTGTGGGGGATTATCGGTCGACTGTTCTGTGTCTGGCTTTCTGGTTTCCTTTTAGTTTCTTTTCCCCCTTCTAGCAGAAGCAGTCAAGCATACGTACAAAATGCACAATTAAAAAGAAACAACGAGCAAGTCAAGTCAAGAAAAGTGGAAAAGGGGCTAACAAAGGAAAGATTCACCAAGAAGCAGTTCAAATGAGGCTGAAACGACTTCTCTCGTAAGTTGCTTCGGCAAATATGATTTATGATCCCCGCTATCCCTCCTCAGTCCTCTCCTTCTTCCAAAGCCGCGTGATTTATCCTTAGAATTCCATTGGCTCTTCTACATTCGATTATCTTTTTTCCGTTAATCAAAGTCGCCATTTCATATCCTAATCCCACCTTAAAAGCCAGTAGTTAATTTCCCGTCGGACTCACAGTCTAGTGTAAGCTAGCGTGGCGTTAAGGGTTTCCCCCCCTCACTCTTCCTCCGCCGCTCCCTTTCTCAAACTCGATGTCAACCTCCGCCCAAATCCCCCAATCAGCAGCGGAACCAAGGCAGTCCACGGATCAGACGGCGGAGGTCAAGCCAGTATCCGATCTCAACTTCGTGGACGATTCCTACTTCGATTCTCTCTTTGCCGAAGACGAAGACGACGAAGAAAACGACGCCGTTCTTCAAACTCTGCCGCCGCCGCGAGCGGGGGAATCTTCTGAAGACGAAGACAAGGGAGAAGTCCTCAAACTCATCTTCCCGGTCTCGGACGCCAAATACGCCCACGGATTGCAGGTCCAAGAGGCTCTATTCGGCTCAATCTCGCTCTACCGCGGCGAAACCCTCGCCGCCGCCGCCGCGGGAGACGAGGAGGTCGAGAGCCCCGGGAAGCGGATGAAGGTGGACGAAGGCGAATCGTCGCTGAGATTCTGCGAGATTTGCGCGGAGAGGAAGGAGCCGGATCAGATTCTCGCCGTCGCAGCCTGCACCCACGCGTCCTACTGCTCCGACTGCATCTCCCGCCACGTGGAGACCAAAATCGGGCAGAGCGTGGTCACCGTCACCTGCCCCGCGTCGGGATGCGGGACCGTGATCGAGCTCGAGTCGTGCCGCGATGCTCTCCCCAAGGGAGTGATCGAGCAGTGGGAGGAGGCTCTGTGCCGGAACCTGATCGGGGAGTCGGAGAGGTACTACTGTCCGTTCAAGGACTGCTCGGCGATGCTCCTGGTGGAGGAGGCAGGAGCGGAATTGATCAGGGAATCCGAGTGCCCGTACTGCCACAGGCTGTTCTGCGCGCAGTGTGGCGTGCCGTGGCACTCTGGGGTGGACTGCCAAGGGTTCCAGCTGCTGGGGCAGGACGAGCGTGGCAGGGAAGATATCATGGTGTTGGAGATGGCCAAGAGCAACAAGTGGGGAAGATGCCCGCGGTGCAAATTCTACGTTGAGAGGACCGAAGGCTGCCCTCACATCATTTGCAGGTCAGAATTCGTTTTCCCATTTCCTAGAGATTGTGATTAATTTGTGGTTTTGCTGTAAATGGGGGATATGGGTTGTTGTTGATGAATTTCAACCGTGCAGGTGCAAATATGAGTTCTGCTATGGGTGTGGAGAGCAATGGAGCTCGAATCATGGCGGGTGTACCAGAGATTGATCGGGGTCGAGCTAATGGACTGGAGGTTGAGGGTCACGTTTGTTGGTTAGATGTTTACTTGCAAAAGTTGATTAAGAGAGGCTGTTTTGGCTTTTAGTTTTTCGTTGATTATCATTGTGTCCTCCATTGTCATTAAGCATATTGGTGATAATGATGGAATGGGGACTGACGAAACTCTTGAAAAGGAAGCTTGGATGGGAGGAATATGAAATTATGAATATTGGTAATGAGTAGGTATTTCTGCACCAGGGCAGGGGTCTTCTATTAGAGCACCTCTACTAATAGAGCACCTTTACTGTGCTATATAGTATTGGTGCTTTAATGTACAACTTAAAGTTGTACCATAACATTAAATGTATAAGTTTAGGTTGTACCATAAAGCAATTTGTACCATTATGTTATGGTACAACTTTACAACTTGAAGTTGTACCATCACATAAAGGTACAAGTCCAAGTTGTACCATAAAAGAATTTGTACTAAAAGTATAGGTATAATCTAAAGTTGTACCATAACGTAACTGTACAATTTTAAGTTGTACCATAAAGGCAAAATCCTGTAGCACCAATACTATATAGCATTGTAAAATTTCTCGTTAATGAAGAAAAGCCTTCCATTTCTGTATCGTAAAACGACGACGTAAAACTTCAAACGAAACCTTTCACATATCACAAATGCTTTTGTTCGGGGGGTGGGCCAGCCCAACCAGCCCGCTTAACGGCCTCGCTGCGTTCTTCTTTCACCTCTTCCCTATCTATGTCTTGGCTTTCCTGATTCCTGGACTCTGTGGCGCCAAATGCTTCCAATGGCTCTCTTCAAGCTACCTTCCTCATCTCTTCCCTTCGCCATCCCTCGCTCGCCCCTCAGTTCCAGACGAATTCCGCCGCCCTCAATCGTTACTGTTTCCTGCTCCAAATCGCCGTCGCCTTCCTCCTCCTCCTCCTCGTCTCCCACCCCCACCGGCAACAGCGAGAGCAACGAGAGTGAGACGTCGACGAGCAGGAGAAGGATATCGGAGCAGTCGTCATGGGAAGCTAAGGACTCCGAAGGCAAAGATTACCTCTACAGATTGGGGAAAGAAGCTGATAACATGAACATTTCCGTCGGCGCTAGGGATGGCGTCATCGACTCTCTCTTCACCGGAACTTTCCTCGGCAGGGACTGTGAGCGCTTCTCCACTTTGAATCTTTCCCGATTGATTGCTTTTTCTTCACTAATTTTCGAACTTCGGTCGATTTTTTATCGTTCTGATCTTCTTTTCCGCCAGCGGATATTGTGTTCGATTACAGGCAGAAAGTGACGAGGTCGTTCGAGCATCTTCAAGGCGATTACTACATTGCTCCAGTTTTCATGGTTTGATTTCGCCCTGCAGTACTCTCAATTCACCTGGTTCGCTATGTCTAAGCCCCAGGATTAGAAATGTCGCCGCCATTCTTATTGTGGTTTCTTTTCTTTTGCAACAGGATAAAGTTGGTAAGTGTTTATTGGTTTCCAGACATGGGGAAGAAACCTTCCTGAGTATTGAAACCTTCCTGAGTATTGTTGGTGTAAGAAAAGCTGATACGTTTGAAATTCAGCAGAGAGCTTGATATGGATGAGCGGTTCATTTCAACATTATGCTCTTTAATCGTGTCATCATCTGCTTCACTTTTCATTGATAGATGAGCGACTTACTTCACTCTACTTATGCAGTCTGTCACATTGTAAAGAACTACATGGCTCATATCCTGAACGTCAACGTGCCGTTGATCCTAGGTACCCGTTCCAAACCTGATTCCCCTATAGCAAAAGTTATTGCCAGTCCTTGTTTGTTGGTTTGCCCAGCCTTTCCATTATGGTCGAGCTGTGTGCTCATGGAGCTCTGAATTTCTGGAGCGTGGTCGTATTCTCAACATGATTAGACTAGGTCCCTTTCTGCATATTCTATACTTCGTAAGTGAGATATGCTTTTGACATTCTTGTAGTTCTTATTTACAGGTATTTGGGGAGGAAAAGGGCAAGGCAAATCATTCCAGACTGAACTTATTTTTCAAACCATGGGAATTGAACCAGTCATTATGTCTGCTGGAGAACTAGAGTCAGAAAGGGCAGGTAATAAGATGGATTTCTAGCTGTCTCAACTTGGAATTGTGGGTTTCCAGAGGGTGGTGTTGGGATGAGTAGTTTCACAGACATTGTCAATTAAATGGGTGTTTCTATGTCTTACATGGTAATGAATCAGAAAACGAGTACTTAGTCATTTTAGCAAGCACTAGTTTTGCTTCCTTTTAGTCGGAATCAACTGTTACTATTGATCAATAGATCCACTTCAGGATTACATTTGATGAATTTGCTAAAATTAGTGCAAAAGCTATAACCCTAATAGCAATGAGAAAGAAGTATACAAGATGGTTGAAATGATATGGTGGAAAGATAATATTTGGTTGACATAATTGTCATGCCGCTGTAAACTGAAGTTCATGTTGATTCAAGAAAAACCAGGGAACCTCGAAAATAGAGGAAAGACTTTATGTCGAAATTTTTTGAGCACTAAGCTCTGTGGGTGATGAGGGATATGAGAATAGTTTTAAGCAGTAGACGCTTGACTTCGGTATGCCATTTTTGTTTCTTCCACAGGAGAACCAGGAAAACTGATTCGAGAACGCTATAGAACTGCTTCCCAAGTGATCCAGAATCAAGTTAGAAGCTTTATTATTATGATCATCGGTATATGTATTTCTCGTATATCGAATTCAGTAGCATCAGTTTTTCGGTCCTTGGCACTGATCTTATAATCAGTGCGAACACTGGTGTCATGAGTCTGTTGCTTTTACATCACTTAGATTGCTCTAATCTATGGTATTTATTGCGTTAAGAACAAGGAGGCTGCAATTCATGTCATGGCTTGCTAGCTGCAGTATATAGAATCTGCTTTTGGTTGATTGATTAGAAGATCCCCTCGTATGCTGCTCGATTAATCCGAGTACTCTTGTTTTACAGGGCAAGATGAGCTGTTTGATGATCAATGACCTTGATGCTGGTGTTGGTAGATTTGGTGAGAGGAAATCAATGCTGTAGACTATCTTAAGGCAGACATTTTTTTGGACTTCTATTTATTGGTGACATTTATATCCAGGAAACACTCAACATACAGTCAACAATCAAATTGTTATTGGGACTCTGATGAATTTGTCAGATAATCCTACGAGAGTCAGTGTTGGACAAGACTGGCGAACAGAAGATATCACAAACAGAATCCCCATAATTGTAACTGGAAATGACTTCTCAACTATCTATGCTCCATTGATTCGTGACGGGCGAATGGATAAGTTTTACTGGTACAGTTCATTTCATGCTTTCTTTTGATAAATATTACTCTGCTTCTTATTTGTTTTTGATCACTATACATCACATCACAATTGTCAGAAGTCAAGTGTGGCGATTGCTAGACTGCTCCAGAGCTTGGTGACTAGGATACTGTAGGCAAACCGTTGGGCCTTTTTTCTAGAGCACCTCTGATATGATTCTCACAATTAACCTGTTACTTTTAACTTTCTAACAATTAGAGTGATATTTTGCAGTTTCTTGCATACTAGAGTTTGTCTATGCATGCTGAGTGACATCTGAAATCCTTGTTATGTTATAGGCAGCCTACACAGGAAGACATATTCAATATTGTCAATAGAATGTATGAGAAGGATGGCATTCCGAAGGAGGAGGTTGTTAAGATTGTGAACTCATTTCCAAACCAAGGTATGTGTAACTTTCAATCTCTTGGCATTGAAACCATTGAAGCCAGTATGGGAAGACCTTTTATCTCTGCATTCTTAACCAACCCCAGTGCTATTTACATCGGCCCAATCGCTCTCTCACAGACACAGACATAACTAACACAAAAATATGCTGAAACTTTTGAATAATCACAATTCTTGAAGGTGATAGGTAACATTGAAAGCCCTGGATTCCATAGTTCTCCTTTTCTCCAGCTATTACTGCTTTCCTTTTGCTATGTACATGTTAGCATGTAAGTTTTCATGGATTAATCCTATGTTTTCTGTATCCTACTTTTCCTTTATCAACATGAAATCAATGATTGTCAAATCTGTCATAAGTATTTAAAAGTGAGTCAATGTTCTTGGGAATGATCTTTAGCAACTATCAATGAAAATTGCTTGTCGTACTTTTATGTTGGTACCATCCTCACTTTGGAAATGGTATTTACTTGTTGCCTTTTATGGATAACCATCTGTTTCTCTCATGTGGGGGTTGACCAGCTTTGGACTTCTATGGTGCTCTAAGGTCTCGAACATATGATAAAGCAATCTCTAAGGTATGTGCCGTTACGAAAAGTATTTCGAGCCATTATGAAAACCGTCAGAGTAGTACTAGGTTCATGGCCTCCTGAATCCTGGTTTTGCATATCCCCTGCATTTAGAATTTCCTCTATCAGTTTTACAACACTCGGTATCGACTGCATTTATACTAGATGTGTACAACCCTAACCCAGTATTCATTGCAGTGGGTTGAAGAGAATGGAGGCATGGAAAAGGTTGGCCCCAAACTTGTACGACGGAAAAGGAACGAGGAACTCCCTGTTTTCACTCCGCCCGAGGTATGCAAACGTTTTGCACTTTGTATTCCGGGTTTCGGTTAACTTATCAATGGTTCCTAGCACCAGGTCTGGACAAGTTCATCAATTCTGGTCATGCTTATGCAAGTGGTTTGTACTATACTTTTCTTTCATTCTGTTCATTGTTTTCGTCGTGTCGTTTCTTGGCTGTACAGCAAACACTAGAGGCTCTGATGGAAGCAGGTCACTCTCTCATAAGAGAACAACAGCTAATAATGAAGACTAAACTCTCCAAGGAATACATGAAAAATTCGGATGATTAGTAGCCTGTTGGTTGCTTGGATTCATGTCAAGGAAAAACTTTCACATAAAAACTGATTCAGAGGTAATTATCTACTGTATGTATTGTATTAACAGTTTTGGTATGGTTGTATATAGATAACATAATTATGTGGAATTTTCCTGGTACCATTTTTGTGTCAAGAACATTAATTGTTTACTGATCCTTAGCCACATTCGAATTTCCCTGTGAGCCTGGATAATTTTCAAGAAGACAATAGGTAAATCAAGTGGTCTAACTAGAAATGGTGTATTCCAAGAACATGCATTAAATTTATGTGTCTAATGCTTTCTAAAAATACATTGTTTGATAAACATAAAAAAAAGTGCATTTAACATTATTTGAATGCATGGATACAAAATATCACCAAAATGATTAGATACAGAGTACATTATGTTTTATGTATTAAGAAGGCATCATGAATTCTCTAGACGTACATCCTACGTCTAAATGGTTTAATAAAGCACTTAACATGATGTATGTATTTGAGCATACCATTTAAAATTGAAGATTCCAAACGACTCTCAAGTCGAGTGTGTTCCCTAGTGGTTTATTTCTCAGCTTACTTACGAACTGTAAGGGCCACGACGATGGGCTGGGTTCTGTAGTTTATCTGCCCAACATCACTCATGAGCTCCAGTGGCCCTCAAAGTTCTAGCTTCTTTCATGGCCCAGAGGTCAGAATTGGTCGTGGGAGAGGGTTGAATTTGATGATGACAAACTGAATGTAGATGTGTTTGCGAGAACCTCTGGATGATAGCTGCATGTTGATGATCCGACGTGTCAGGCTTCGAGAGGAGCTGAACTGCACACTGAGAATCCAACTCCACTCTAATACATCGATGATCGAGGTTCCATGCCAACTGAAGACCTTCCACAACGCCTCGCAACTCTGTCCGGGTAATGGAACACATACCTAGGTTGCTAGCGAATGCTGCTAAGCAGCATCCTGTATGATCTCGCAACAAACTACCTGCAACAGCGTGGTTTGTATCAGTATGAACGGAGCCGTCGGTATTGAGAGAAATCCACTCGGGAGATGGCGGCTTCCATGAGATCTCCATCTCCGTTCTTATGAGTCAGCTAGGCATATGGGTGAGCCTCTCCTTATCCATGGCATTTCGCACGACATTTATCTATGCTAGGGCCCGCTGTAAAATGTCGTTGCTTAATTAGGAGGGCAACAAATTATGAATCGAGCATAGTTCTAAACCAAATATCTTCAAATTATAACAATGTCAAACTCATGTCATGTGAAGTAGGGAGCGGATATGGTACTAACACCATTTGTATTAATGTTGATAACTATTGATTAATAAATAAGAAGCAAGAGTTTGATAGACTAATTTGTTCCGGTTAATCAAAATTTCATTAAGTACAGGTCAACCCAAATCAACTTGACCCTCTTTTCCATTGTTTACAACCCCTCGCAGTACTATCATTACTACGAATTGTTTTTTTAACACTAAGCAAGTAAGAAATTACCACTATTCTAGTTTCAATCTATCCATACTACTTTGCAAGTCCACATCATAGGCAACAACACATCTCACCATCCTCTTGATAAGCATACATACTTGGAAGGAGTATGAGTATGTTTCTTCCCATATAACCTCAGGCAGGGCCGGCCAAGAGGGTGTGCTGGCCCGCCCTCCGGCACAGGGCCACAGAATATTAGGGGCCCTCAAGCATCTCTCCCTCCAGACATAATTAACAACCAATACCCATATCGTCTTCAGCACGTCTGTCGCCGGATACGTCTTGACCATGCATGCACTAGCCAGGAACCAATGCAATTGTGTTCCTCCAGTCCACAGTACAGGCAATCTAGACTCAGATCGACTATCTTCTTTGCGAGATTGATATTAATAGGTAGAATGTTGTGCATGATCTCCCAAAGGAAATAGTGGAGTTCTGTACGCCACAGAGCAATATGCGGCCTTGGAATAGGGATGAAAATCATCTGTGCCATTGTTACATCCTTAATTAAAATGTCCTCAGCCTCTCATTCCAGCCTATTATCCTACTTCTTGTAAGTTCTTTAATGTAGGCGAATACCACTTTCTTTGATCACCATAAAACCATGGAGAGGCCAAGATATTTTTCATGTTTGGAGATCTCTCTAATTCCCAAGCTACTTACGATCTCCTCCATCTTCTACTGACCCACATTATTGATGAAAGATAATTCGGACTTGCTAAGATTTATTATCTGACCTGATTCCAATGCATAGTCGTGTAGAATCATCTTCATATACTTGCCCTCTTGATGACATGTTCTAGTAAACAAGACTCAATCATATGCAAATAATAGATGTGACACAATGGGGGCCTTGCGACACTGTAATTCCATGCCATTTACCTTTCTTTTCAGCTTTCTTTACCATCGAAGACAAGACCTAAACACACAACAGAAAGAGATAGGGTTGCCCTTTGCGCAACCCTCTTTTTGGGTATTCGAGATGACTTTACCTTGTATCACCTTTAGTCGGTTGGCAAATACATTTGACAAGATCTTGTATATAGGACATTGCATAAGTTGAAGTGATGAATATCATTGGGTGGCTTTGGAGATTTTACCTTCGGGATCAAGCATATTAGTGAGTGATTGAGTTGGTTTGGCACCTGCCTCGTTTCCAGGTAGCAGGGTAGTTCCTCAGTAACTTGTGTTCGAATTGTTTCCCACTGTGTCCTATGAAAGCTACCGGAAAACCATCCTCCCTTGGGGCTTTAAACGGAACCATCTGTTGTAATACTACTTCAATTCTCATTTTTTACAAAAGATTCTCATATATGGATTCTGTTGTGATTTCTAGACTTATTATTAAGTTTAGGGTCCATTTTGTACTTTACCATCAAACCCGTGTTTCATGTTGTTAGGGTTGTTGGTCTCATGTACTTAAGGGGAAGAGGCTTATGTGCTTTTCCTCAACTACAGAAAACCTAAAAGAGTGAATAATAGCTCAGCCGAGAACTCACGTTCTCCGTGGACTAGTCTCGTTCTCACCGAACGAGGAAGCCACGTAAGTCTCGTGTTCCTTCTTCCGCATTCTCGATTTCTACATGGTATCAGAGCTGTGATCACAACCACGGCTAGTAATCAATATGTCAAGGGGAGACTCCGCTGTTAGTTCCAACAAAGGTAGCGGCGGTGGCAGCGGTGGCGGTGGTACAACCCAGCGACCGTCCCCGTTCATGCTTCACACCTCCGACAATCCCAGCCAACTTTTCGTTGGTGAACTACTCACAGAGACTAACTATGGTGAGTGGGTAGGAGATATCTCAGATTCCTTCATTGCTAAAAACAAATTGGGTTTTGTTGATGGTTCCATAATCGCGTCGGAAAGCGGTGGAGAGGATTATGATGCTTGGAAACAAGCGGATGCTATGGTTAAGGGCTGGCTCAAGACCGCGATGACCAAGAACATCCGCAGCAGCGTTAGGTTTGCAAAAACAGCAAGGGAAATATGGGTTGACTTGCAGGCTCGATTCGGCCATGGTAGTGCATCTCGTATGTACGAGCTAAAGAGCACCATCATTCAGCTACAGCAGGAGAAGACCTCTGTGGCGACCTTTTATACCAAATTGCGAGGGCTCTGGGACGAGATTAGCTCATTAGCTCCCTCGCTCGAGTGCACGTGTGGAGGCTGCACATGTGATGTCAAACGCCACCAAAGGGAAGCAAAGGAAGGTGAGCGTTTATTTGATTTTCTAATGGGTCTTGATGATGCTTTTGGTACTGTTCGGACCCAGATTCTTGCTATGAAGCCAATTCCTAGCCTAGGAGAGGCTTATCACTTGATTATGAATGAGGAACAACAACGGCACATAACTAGCAATAGACGTCCTCGAACGGATGCTGCTGCCTTTCAGGCTCAGGGGGAGAAGAAATCCGATCGCATGCTGAAGGTGGGGGAGCGTGACGTTGAAGGCAAACCTGTGTGCAGCCATTGCCAAAAGCCTGGCCATTATCGAGAGACTTGCTACAAACTCATCGGTTATCCCCCACGCAAGGAGGGCGATGGACAAAACAAGCGAAAAAACAGATTGTGGGTCGCGTTCGTCACCACAAGCTGTTGCGGTCGAGACCGAGTCCGACACTAGCCCTATCCCTGGCCTCACGATGGCGCAGCTGCGACAGCTCCAGTCCTTCCTCAAGTGGGATTTGCGAGCTGCACCACCTAGCTCCGCCGATCCTGTCTCTAACATGGCAGGTACGTGCTCTATACATAATTCTTCATGGGTTATAGATTCTGGTTGTAATGAGCACATAGTGAATGATAAATCTTTGTTGCTGAATGAGCTGGAGTCACCTCCGGCTTTACAGGTTCGAATTCCTAATGGGACAGGGGTCCCTGTTCATCGTATTGGTTCCGTCCAATTATCAAATGACTTATCTCTTCAGCGAGTGTTGCACGTACCACATTTTCAGTGCAATTTACTCTCTGTCAGTAGGCTTACGGCTAATCTTCCTGTAGCCTTGATATTTCTTCGTGACTTCTGCATTGTTCAGGACTTACCCTCCAGGAAGCTGATTGGGATGGGTAAGCACGTGGATGGGCTATATTATCTCAGACTGTTTGATGGGCAGCATCCAGTGGCACATACCGCACGTCAGGCAGTTGATAAAACGGCTCTTTGGCATGCACGTTTGGGGCATCCGTCCAAGGCGAAGTTATCTATTTTGCAGAAGTACATTTCGACACCTCTTTTGCAGCGGAACTCACCTTGCCATTCTTGTATTCGAGCAAAACAAGCTCGTGATCCTTTTATGTCTAGCTGGATCACGACTTCATCTTGTTTTGAACTCATACATTTGGATATTTGGGGAGGATATCATGTTCCATCTTTCTCTGGTGGGAAATATTTTTTGACGATTGTGGATGATTACAGCAGAGCAGTTTGGGTCTATTTGCTACGTTTTAAATCTGATGTTGCACGCACGTTATTGTCATTTTTCCATATGATTCAGCAACAGTTTGGAAAAGTGGTGCGGCGTATACAGGCCGATAACGGTCCAGAATTCGCCACTAATGAGCTCCGGACTTATTATGAGCAGTCTGGCATCATCCTGCAGACGTCATGTACTGACACTCCTCAGCAAAATGGCATCATGGAAAGAAAACATCGCCATCTCTTAGAAACTGCGAGGGCATTACGATTTCAGGCGAATTTGCCTCTCGAGTTCTGGGGAGAGTGCATTCTTACTGCAGCCTACTTAATTAATCGTATGCCACTGGTGACCACAGGAAATCGTTCACCATTCCAGATCATGTTCGGCAAAGATCCTAGCTATCATCACTTACGGAGTTTTGGATGTCTCGTCTATGCTCGAGACAATCGTCATGGCTTGGACAAGTTCTCCGATCGAGGCCGTGCTTGTGTTTTTGTCGGCTATCCGAGTACACAGCGGGGCTACAGAGTTTTTGATCTTGAAGAGCGACGAATTTATACGTCACGTGATGTTAAATTTTTAGAATACATCTATCCCTATCACTTGAGCACTGATCCTTCGTCATCGTCCATGCAGGCCATGCACTCTCGGCCTCCTCCTGTGATGGCTGAACCTGTTTGGGATGAGGATCCTGCTATCCCTTCCTCTACCTCCCTGCCCACAGACGAGCACGTCGACTCGGGCGCCATTTCACCGCCCAGCGCTGCTCCTTCTTCACCTGGCGAGCATACCACTTCACCACCGCACAGCCCAGCTTTTCCTTCTACTAGCGAGGATGCCTCGTCCCATTCTCCTTCACCAGGACTTGGACATGAGCATTCTCCTTCACTCACGACCACTATGACTAGCCCCGAAGCTTCCTCGAGTTCTCCGGAGCCGCCTTCAGCTCTCGATGAACCTGCCCCGCGGCATGGTGATCGTCAGCGCCAACCTTCAGTTCGGCTACGTGGTTTTGATGTTGATCTCCCTAGCTTTTCTGGCTCCACCACAACCACCTATCCAATTGAAGACTACCTCACTTATGATCGACTTTCACAAGCTCATCATGCATTCGTCGCAGCTGTCACCAGTCACGATGAGCCTCGTTTCTTCCACCAGGCGGTTCGTCACGAACATTGGCGGCAGTCCATGATTGTTGAATATCGTGCCCTTGAGGCAAATGGCACGTGGATTTTATGTCATCTTCCTCTTGGGAAGAAATCCATCGCGTGCAAATGGGTTTACAAGATCAAGTTCAATGCAGATGGCACCATCGAGCGGTATAAAGCTCGTCTTGTTGCTAAAGGCTTTACCCAGATCAAAGGTATTGATTATCATGATACGTTTGCCCCCGTCGCCAAGCTGGTCACTGTTCGATGTTTACTTACTGTTGCGATCAGCAAAGGATGGTTTATTCATCAACTTGACGTAAACAACGCTTTTCTTCATGGGGATGTTGAAGAAGAAGTCTACATGGCCATTCCTTAAGGTTTCTCGACTCCCGGTGAGACTCGTGTTTGTCGACTTCGTAAATCGATCTATGGTTTACGTCAAGCATCCCGCAATCGGTACCAAAAATTTACCCACGCCTTGTTGGAGCTTCATTTCGTCCAGAGCCGAGCTGATCATGCTCTCTTCACTTATAGGCGTGGTACCAGTTTTGTTGCAGCTCTTATCTATGTTGACGACGTTATCTTGACCGGTAACGACATGGTTTTCATTCAGCAGGTCAAGGATTTTCTCCATGCTCGCTTCACTATCAAGGATCTCGGCAACCTGAAATATTTTCTGGGTATTGAGGTTGCTCGTTCTCCCCGTGGGATGGTTTTGAACCAACGCAAATATGTGTTGGATATATTGGCTGAATCCGGACTCACCGCTTCTTACCCTAGTCCGACTCCTATTGAACAAAATCACCGAATCGGCAGCGATTCCTCTTCTCCCGCCGCCGACCCTGCTTCTTTTCGTCAGTTGGTCGGTCGACTGCTCTACCTTACCGTTACGCATCCCGACATTACCTATGCTGTCAACATACTTAGTCAGGCAGTTCATTCTCCTATGCAGGCACACGTTGATACGGCTAATCGTGTATTGCGCTACCTTAAGACATGCCCAGGACGAGGTTTGTTCCTTCCTGCCTCGGCTGACCTCTCTCTCACTGCATATTGTGACGCTGACTGGGCGGGCTGCCCGCTCACTCACCGTTCTACCACCGGCTATTTCATTAAGCTCGGGGCATCACCTGTCTCCTGGCGCACCAAGAAACAATCGGTGGTGGCATGATCCTCGGCCGAAGCAGAATACCGGGCTATGGCTAGCACCATTAGTGAAGTCTTGTGGCTTCGATGGCTTTTGCATGACCTTGGCGTTCCTCTTTCCACGCCGACTCCTCTTTATTGTGACAATCAAGCTGCTCTCCATATCTCGCCAAACCCGGTCTTCCATGAGCGCACCAAGCATGTTGAGATGGATTGCTACTTCGTCCGGGAAAGAGTCCAGTCAGGTGACATTATTCCCCTCAAGATCGCTACTCAAGAACAACCGGCTGACATTTTTACTAAGGGACTCAGTGCCGATCAGTTTTCCCATCTTCTTGTCAAGCTTGGCCTTCTTGACATTCATTCCTTCGCTTGAGGGGGAGTGTTGTGATTTCTAGACTTATTATTAAGTTTAGGGTCCATTTTCAAATATAGGTAGTAGTTACATCCTGGAATTCAGCCAGACCTCAAAATCAAAGAAACGACTCACAATTGGGTACAATGAGAGGGCCTTTCTAGCCACCAAATGTGCTATCCTATTACTACTCCGACCTACAAGTCGAATACTAAACCCAATATGAATTGCAAAATAATGCACAATTTCCTCAAGTATAGCCCCCATTCGATTATCGTTAATATCAGCCCGTATGATCTTCTCGATGACCACTTTGGCATATCCTTCAAACCTCTTTTCCGTAAAGCCATGGTCTAGACACCATAGAATAGCCTCCCAGAGAACGAGCAACTCAACCACCATAGGGTCATCAATTCATGAAAACTGGACCCCCTACCCCCCCCCCCCCCCCCAAAAGGATTTCCCTAGCTAGGTTCATGATAATCATCCCGCTTGCCGAATAAGACCCACACCTTGTTGCCCCATCCCACATAAAAACAACCAAGTTAGATGATATTCGGCTTTAATATATCGAATTCTTGGACTTTATGTGATTATCTCATGGTATGTTTAAGCCGATTGGTGCTATTTTAGGGAGAATTAATCTGTAATGGTTGAAAAGCCATTACCATTTTGTGTTGGAGTTTTGGTGTGTGTTTAGGTCAAAAGATAGATAAAATGGCAGCACTGGAACTTCCGAAGCAGGAGATGGTGGGAGGAATTAGATCCATATTTTTTCCACAACAAGTAATTGGGCCAAAGCCCAATTGATGGAGGCAATTAACTGTTACGGGTTGGAGGAAGGAATTTTATTTGGGCCAGCAAAAACTATTCTGGGCGGCAGGGAATTGGATTTGGCGGCTGGGGGGTAGAAAAAGAATTCTTGGAGGCGGAATTAAAGAAGTAAGAAAGGAGAGGGAATTAAGATTGGACCCGAATTGAGGGAGGCAATAAAATTGGGGGCGGACATCTCTTTGGCAAAAAGGACGGGGGCCCAATTCGGAATTGGGACGAAATAAAATTAATCAAGAGGGCGGCTGGCTTTGGGAGAAAAAAAAGAGAAGGCAGCAGGCGGGGGTGGCTTTTGTGGTTTTTTTAGACGAAAAATTCTTTGGAGAAAGAAAAAGGGCGCAGGCAGCAGCGAGTAGCGAGCAGTGCGATTGAGAATTTGACGATCGACTTCTCCCAAGCGGTTTGAGCTGAGTTCAACGAGAGCGATTAGTTGGTTGGATTGTCTGAACCAAACTAGCTGTTTATTGTTGATTTAGAACATGATGAACAAAACCCTATTGTTTTATCTCAATTTCATCATGAACTAAACCACGATTTCTGGGGGAAACACCATAGGATGTAGCTATTTCTTGATTTGATGGATTGATTCGTATTTCTTTTCTTCCAATCTCTATTGCATGAAATTACATAATGCTTTGTGTTGACTAGCCACCAATACAACGGTTTGTAGTTAATTAGGTTATTAGCGACAGTGAAACCCTATTAACTGAACCTATTTCATGTGACATAGTAACTTATCGAAGCGATAGTGGATTAAATAAGGTGCTATGCGGTCTTAAATAGGATATCGATCTTCAGGCTATATAGTTAATTCATTGAGCTACGACAGTAGGATTTGAATTAATTTTTTAGTACGTAGTAATTCCCGACAGGGATAGCTAGCACATTCGTGATATCCTGGCTGTAGAGAGTTGGATTAAATTGATTGGAATATGTGAATTAATATGGATAGGATAGGTAGTGAATCCCGGTGTTTCTCCCAGAGCTTTCTCCATTGAATTTCTCCCGACCAATTTACTTTGCTTAATTAGTTAATTTTGCTTTTAGATAATTAGTCTCGTTAAACCATTTTCACCTATAGTTTGCTCTATAAATTGATAGAATATAAGGTTGTACCAGTCCATGAGAGACGATAACCGGACTTCCGGTTTACTACGAGATAGGAAATTGGCATTAGACCCACAATATCCCAAGGTATATATCAGAGGGATGGGAGAGGGGATTACTGGATCCACCGGAAAACTTACTCACTCCTGGTACTGTTGGTGAAACTGCCTCATCAAGACCGGGATCCCGAACTGTTTATCCTCAAAGACCAACCAGTTGCGGGAATGCCATATCCTCTAGAGAACAGCAACAACTGCCATGAACAAAGCAGGTTGATGTATGAGCACCAACAACTTTTTTAGAAAAAGTGGGAATGTATGACGAGGCAATCCTTGGCCCAGATATTCAAGCCTCGTATGGTCCTGGAGAGCACGAGCCACCGGAAAATGAAGAAACAAATGTTCCATTGTTTCTGACTCCGTCCAACAAACTGGGCACCTGGGAAGCACAAGGACGTCCTTCTCGATTAGGGCTTCTGTTGTTGGCAGAATTCGGTTAAAGATTTTCCAGACAAATACTTTCAGCTTGGATGTTAGCCTCCCACAAATGAATCCAACTAGCCCTATCCATCCAACTGGCCATAGGCGTGGGCAATGAGAAATGGGTATTTGGGTATACCCAAACCCGTCCCCTTTTTTTTAGGGTTACGGGTACCCAAATACCTGTAATATTTAGTACGGGATGAGACTTGAGATTAACAATTTCAACATCAGGTACCCGCACGTTACCCGCTAATACCCGTTTGGATAGTGACTCGCACGAAACTACACAATAAAACCCCAATTAGAGCTCAAGTTTTAAAACTCTAATTGGGTGCAGTATATGGCAAGTATTTAGATATCGACCCGGGTCGGTCCGTCTACCCCTACTTCACTTGTTGAAATCATTATCCAGCAAAAAAACATTGGTTTAAAGGTTTGCTAATTGAAATAAAAGAAAACAAAGGTGATTGGGTTTGAAAACTCTTTTGTGGGAAAGTCACTCGGGTGTCGCTTCCCTCTAACTGCTACCATGCTATGTGAATTGGAACGATGCCTTTGGGCATGATAATCGCGAACCGCAGAGGGATGCATATGTGGTCGGAGACCGCATCTCAATTGCTAAACCGAGGTAAGGATGAAAGGTCGTGTCACTCGACCCTCTCGGTTTAGACAATTGGTAATTGGCTTACTCCCTCACTAAACGCTAAGGTCGGACGATTTAATCACGATTAATCGACTACTTAACTCAATATTGAGGGTCGCCATAATTTAACCTAGTTTAGGTGGCTTAGATAGCGAAAGTAAAACCAACTCGATTGAGTCTCCCTTGAAAGGGGGATTTTCGGATTTTCCTCTCTAAGCTAGGCTAAGGTGGCAAATTAGATTACTAGAACCTAAATGCACAAACCTAGGGGTGCTAAGCATAATTATGCATAATTCTTAGGTTGCTAAGCACCTAAATGCACAAACCTAAGGATGCTAAGAACAAAACATGCACAACCCCTAGATTGCTAAGCACACGTATGCACAATCATGATAAATAATGCCTCAATCATTGAATTGAACAATACCCAATGACAATCATCCAAAACACATACAAGAAAACTACATGGTAGAGTTAGGGTTTCACTACACCCAAGTGAAAGGAGGTCTACTCCATGCTAGAAGTGGGGCGAACAAAAGGGGAAAATGTGGAAACCATCTTTGAGGATGCTCCCAGTCTTCTTGGCCCTTGAGATGAGCTTTCCTTTGGGGAAAGCTTCCCAAAATCTGCCTTGAAGCCAAACCCTAACCTTCTTCTTCCCTTTGGTTCTGTTTCTCTCACTATAATGCTGAAGAAGGTGTTTCACACAAAAGTGGGCTCTCCCCTCTCTCCTCCTTTCAGCTCATCTTTTAAACCCGAGATGAGCTGAGTTCACGGCTGTGAACCATGAAACGCGTCCATGAACTCCAGGCGTGCACCAAAACGCGCTGCATCGCTCACGTCTGTTCACGGTCAACTGCCTGTGTTCACGGTCTTAGTGAGTCTTAGTGAACGTGAACTCACTTGCGTCAGTAACCTTCACATTGGCTCTGGACGCCTCGCGATTCACGGTCAAGTCCTCTTCTTCACGGTCTTGCATGATCGTGAACTCCCTCAGTTAGCCGTGAACTGGCTCTTTTTCACCTCTTCTCCCGGTTTTCGATCCTTTTCGCCAATCTTTCGACTCCGAGGCTGGTTTTACCTGTTAAATCCTGAAACACACTCAAACACGAAGAACCTAGTGTAAAACCGACCTTTTAGGAGCGAATTGGCACAAACATCTAAGTAAAACGAGGACAAAACATGTAAATTAAACCCAAATTAGGTAGTATGGGTACCCGTAATACCATTAGAATTTATTCAATTTCAATTACCCAAATATGAAACGCACTTCCCACCTAAGACTCCGAACCTGTGCAGGTCATTTTCTAGAAATGATTTGGCTGGAATTGGATGTCATGAGCAGGTCAATCGTTGGAATGAGTTCGGCAGCACTTTAGGAGATTCTTGTTGTTCGGACAGTAGCTTTAGCTTATGGAAAGCTTTAGCTACTTCGCGTAATTCTTGTCCCATTTTACTTTTATATGTCAAGGAGATGATTTGGCAGCATTTGATGTCAAGGATGAGCTTATGGGCAGTAGCTTTAGCTACTTCTCTTGTCTCAATTAATTTTTATGTCAAGGAGGAGCTAGTTTTAGTTACTTCACTTAATTTTTATGTCATTTTGTTTTGTGCCCAGTGTATCAATTATTAAGTCTCTTTTCTTCTTGTGTCATTTTGTTACAGGTTTAATTTTGTTATTTTGTTTCATGTGTAGTTTTGTAATTGTTCCCATGTTGAACGGGTATATACGGGTAGTTCGGGTACTAGTTATCCGTCTCGTATGGGTAACGGGTACCTGTTAACCTATACGGGTTTGGGACATGGGATGGACTTTGTTCTCCAAATGAAATTGGGTACCTGTTTCAAACGGGACGGGTACACAATCCCGTCCCGTTGCCCACCCCTAACTGGTCATGGATTTCCAGCGACCCCGCTGTTGATCTAATAGAATAGCAAAGTGATAGGTCGGCTTAACTGTGAAGACCCCATCCGTTGTGGCAATGCCAGATTAGCCTATCCTTTACAATCTGACAAGGAAGAGGAATAGCTTTAATAGTTTAACAGATGGGCGGGTCAAACCACTAGCTAAGTTTTAGGTCACAACAACGCCCTTCCCCTGACATATAACCTCCGCCATCGGGAGGTCCCCCTCATCGGGAAGCACTCGAGGGTTATACACTGGGAGAATGGGATGCAACCGAGGAATCCAATTGGAATGGAGCAGAGAGGCTTTCTGACCATGACCAATTTGTCATCACAGCCCCAATTCTAATAACTTCCGGCCATAGAGGATACTCTACCATCTCCAAGATGGGCGAGAGCGAACCGTTCCCGAGAGGAAATACTTCCCTTTGTACACTTATGCTAAGAGAGATTGGGGTTCATTAAGGATACGCCATCCAAATTTGGCTAAAAGAGCCTAGTTAAAATGCTCGAATTGATGAAATCTCATACCACTGTCATGCTTACTCCTGCGCATATTGCACCGGGATATCCATCAAATCCTTGTTTGACCCTCTTCAACACCCCACCAGAAATGGGCCATATGTTTGTTCAGGAGGCAACATAAAAAGTGAGGTAACATGAAACAAGATACAACATGTAATGGCAAGGCCATTTTGGATTGGGTTTCCAAGAGAGTGTCCTGCGTTTCTAACTCTGGAGCCGCTCCAATAATTTCTCCTCCAAATAGTGGAATGTGGCCGTTTTAGACTGGGAGATCAAAGTAGGAAGCCCCCAGATATTTATCATGGACCCCCATAGCCCCGACTCCTAGAATTTGTGCTAAGAACTCCTGGTCCGATAGAGCAATATTCTTACTAAAGCAAACTGTCGATTTTGCCAGGTTCACCCTCTGGCCACTAAACTCCTCATACTCATTCAATACCTCGATCAAATTCTCACATTCCTGGAGGGTCCCTCTCAGAAATAAATAGCAAAAAACAAGTGCAAGATACGGGGAGCTCTAGGAGCCACTTTCACACCTTCAAGCTTCCCATCAGAGATTGATTTCCGAAGGAGCGCTGCAAACCCCTCCGTGCAAATCACAAAGAGAAGAGGAGACAAAGGATCCCCCTGCCGGAGCCCCCTCAAGGGTGAGAAGAAACCCGACAGGGTTCCATTCATGAGAACTGAAAATGTCGTCGATCTGGGACATTCCTGTATCCACCCTTTCCACATGGAGTCAAAACCCATCTTGTCCAAAACTTCAAGAAGAAATGGCCATTCGACAATATCATAGGCCTTTTCCATGTAAACCTTTAGAGCCATGTACCCTTTCTTACCTCGCATTTTGATTTTCAGGTAGTGCATTAACTCATGCCCAAGAAGGATATTTTCTACAATTTGCCATTCACGGATGAAAGCATTTTGACCTTCTGAGATACTTTGAGGTAAGAGGCCAGCTAATCTTTCAACCATGATTTTTGTTATCACTTTATACACAAACTGGCATAAGCTAATCGGGCGGAGTTGCCTCATAGTTTCGACATTATCCACTTTAGGGATTAACGTCAACCAGGTATGATTGAAGCTATAGAGCATCTTACTCATTGTAAAGAACGAGCAGACAGCCTCAATAACAGAGGCGCCTACAATATCCCAGAAGGCCTTGACGAATTTACCCGTAAACCCATCAGAACCAGGTGCCTGCTTTGATCCCATGGAGAAGACCGTTTGCCTGACTTCACTAGGGAGGACTTCCATCGTGAGACGTGCATTCATTTGTGGCGTAACATTGTGAGGTATGGAAAGATCAGCTATCCTATCGGCCATGTTCAACCCCTGATTTTCTGACGTGAACAGGGCTTGTTAGAAATTACTGGCTATGTTTGCCTTCCCATTTTCCTCAGTGACCCATTCTCCATCGTCATTGCAAAGGCCATACACAAAATTCCATTTTCTACGAGCTCTCGTAACCGTACGAAAATCCGATGTATTTTTATCACCCTTTTTCAGCCATTGGGCATGAGATTTCTATTGCTAGTAGACTTCCTCTGCCTTCCATTGTCTATTTAACTCAGATTCGAGGGTCCTTACTTCATCCCAGTTGATCAGATGGATTAACTTGATTCGATCGTCTTGGAGGGTTTTGAGGTTACACAATGAGTTGGTAGTGCCCGCCCTACTCCAATCGTAGAGTAGATGGCGAAGTCGCTTGAGTCTCTCTCAAAGCTGGTACATTGGAGTCCCTTGGATTGCCTCTTGCCAAACATATGTCACCATTGCCTCAACCTCTGGATTATCCATCCAATGAGCATCAAATCGGAAAAGGGGGCGACTATTTAAAACATAGGGTTTTTCATATAGGAGCAGTGTCCGGTGATCAGATCCTTGATCCGTGAAATGTTTAACAAGTGTATCTGGAAAGCGTTAACCCATGTCTATGAACATAGAGCTCTATCCAGTCTCTCTCTAATGCAAGCAGTACTCATACGTTTTTTTGTCCAAGTGAATTGATCACCTTGATAACCCAGGTCATACAGGCCAAGGTCATGAACAAAGTTCCGTAGATCAATAGACTGGGAAACATTCCAGGGATTGTCACCATATTTTTCATATTCGTGGAGGGTAACATTGAAATCACCTATTACCACATAAGGTAATCGAATTCCTTCACAAATTACTACTTCAATTCCATTCGTTGAAAAGGGTTGGAAAAGGTTGATGTTCTGTTGGGGATACGACTAAGGTGTCTAGCGCAAACAATACTTCCGGATTCTTCTCCCACTTGCATGCGTCATCTACGGACTACGAGCCGCGCTATGTCCACCTAACATCATGTCTTATCACATTTAATATTTACCTACCGTATTAGAACCTATAAATAGGACATTTACTACGGATAGAGGGGGATACGTCATTAAGACGAAACCACTCTCTCTACACTTTCTCTCTCTACATTCTATATTACCCGTTAGTAGACCATTCGCTCTGACTCCTCTGTCAATCACACTCGTGACCCATACAACCCTAGTGTCTCCCTCCTACACCATCGAGGTACTAACGTGTTCATTTTTTGCATTACTTTCCTCTCAATTCCTTCAATAACCTTGTTGCTTCCCATATCCCCTTGAGATTGGAAAAAATTGTGAAAAGTAATATATAATGCATTTACTTTCTTCTTTCTGGCCCGGATCAATCCGACCCAGCTCATCCTGGATTTTCATGATCATATTTCTTCTTTGTCATTTCATTTTTTTTTTATGAAATAGTTTGGTATTTCGATTCTCATCTCGCATCCATGAGATTCTTGACCGTTGGTGTCATCTCTCCTCTTATTGTACAAGAATCTTCGCTCTCTACGCTTCGAGGATCTTTCTCCGCTCGATCCAACCATCCTCCCTCGTCTCCTTCTCTTGATTTTCTAGTTCTTTATCCACCTTCTCCTCGTATTATATCTACTTAAAGGTTAGAGCCCCTTTTGCACTCTATTTTTCACAAAAAAAAAAATCAATTATTCATTACCATATTTCATAATTAAATTAATTTAAGAATGACCATTACACACATGTATTATAGGAGGAACTATTTTATTATAATGAAAACAAGTATTATAGGAGCAACTACGTTATTATAATGAAGACTCGGACGTATACGTTGGAGATTACTCTTATTTTTGTATCCTGATATGTGGTTCAACCACCTTTTTGGTGACTTTTTTCTTTTGTCATAAATATTCCGAAATAAGGAATATATAGATAGAGCAACCAATTGAGAAGGTAAAGGAATAATATGTAGATAGAGTAATCAATTCATAGGAACATGGAAAAGATTGGGAAAAAAAGGAGCTGCTGACACAAATTTTATCTACCTTCTACAATCAACATTCGATTCCTTTCTGTACAGTAACTTCAGTTCCCCGATTAGTGCATATTGCTTAGTAAAGTGTCCAGATTTGCAGAATCATATTCTTTAGCTTTCCTTTCTATGGCTTTATTACAAATAAATTGTCGATAATGCTTCGGAAAACAAAAGTAATCAGTGGACTAAAAGTTGTACATTTCTAAATATTTGTATATTCTAGAGGGTACGTCTACATATATGGCGCACCTCACCCTCAATTTTGGATTTTTCATATTGATTTTGTCATTTGTAAATAATATTAAGGTGTTTAATAAGCGTTAAAATACTGTAGTTCTATATACAATTTTTATTTAATATTCACAAATATTTTTATTTTTAAATGATTTATTAGAAATTTAATAAAAACATTTTTTAACCATTTACAAGCCAAACTGATATAATGAGTAGGGGATATGAATGATATATAATAGGAACTCCAGTACTATGCAAACGGCATGTATATTGCAGAGTACTGCAGTGAGTTAGGTACCGAGAGCATGAAAATAGAATAACACAACATCTAGACGTAATTTGGTGGAGTTATGATTATATGATATATCATCTAGAAATTCAATTTTCTCTCAATTTTTTTAAAAGATCAAAAACTTTGAGAACTATTGATATGATTATGTGAACTTATAAACTATTTTTCTAATTGTTACCAGTTGTTAACGAGAGGGAGAATGATTAACTAGAGAGCGCATATTCCCATCTCTCATCGGATGAATACTTTGGATGTTTCTCTTGATGATTTGGCCAAAACAGAAAAGGAATATAAATGAAAACTCTCTTGACCTCTTTGTTTATTTTTCAATTAGAGAGTACTTTCAACTCTCTACAGTGGTGGAGAAAATAGAAAATCTTGATATTATCCACAAACCGACGGAATCCAATGCTTATACACATACACGGCACGGGTTAACCCCTTAAGGGGTTGGTTTTTTGACACCCCCTTTTAATTGGTCAATTTTTCATTAACTATTGACAAGTATTAATGAAAGTAAACATAATAAATGTTCTGTTATTAAATACAAAATAAAAGTAAACATAATAAATGTTCTGTTATTAAATACAAAATAAGCATTAAATACACCACATTAATTACCACTTTACTGGTATTTGTACCACTGCACTGATACTCATATATGACATTGCTACCAGTGCACTGATATCGCTACCAGTGCAGTGGTATATCTACCAGTACAGTGGTACAACGTATCAGTGCAGTGGTATATCTATCAGTACAGTGGTACATCGTATTAGTGCAGTGGTATATTTTTTGGAGGTGGTCGGAGGGAGTCTGCCGATGGGATTTTCACCGGAGAAGTGTGGCGATCGGAGGAAGTCTGGTTGTCGGAGACTGCTGAAAAAGGAAAAATCAAATATAGTGAGAGAATTCCTAATGTGTATTTAATGTGTGTATTTAATTCCTAATGTGTATTTAATAGTGAGAGAATTCCTAATTAATATGGTACATTTAATTTTTAATGTGTATTTAATGTGTGTATTAAATTCTATAGTTGTATTTAATATACTAGAGGGGTGTCATTTTTCCAACTCTAAGGAGGGTGCTAACCGACCCCAACACATTTCTCAATTAGAAACATAAGTTCTTAATTATTATTCTTAAGTCTTAACATTTTTTGGGAAGATATACAATACAACACTTTTTTTTGTTGTTGTAAATTATGAGAATTTATTGAGTCATTAACCTTTCTTTCTGTGCCCCCTCAATTTCAGTCATTAACCTTTAGAATGTTTGAACTTTGAACCCAATCCACCATTCTTATATACTTCATAGAAAATGAGTGTGATCACCATGAATCCCTCTTTCATTTACCACCTTCCAACTTTATATATAGCTAGTCGCTGTGCCTTTCCATCTTGGCATGATGGAACATTGGTGTGCCTATATATGTGCAGAACTTTAATGGAAACACTACTCCTAATTATATTTCTAAGGCTAATAGCACCATAAACGATAGAGGGTGGCTCAGATGATAAGATACGAGATTGACATTAAATGTTTGTTGTTAATTGGTTGTTTTTTTTATGACATACCATTACGTGATGTCAATCATTAAATTTAATGGTCAATTAGCTACAAATAATGCCACAACTATCATAGAAACATATGAAATTGTGTCACAAATGTTATTTCGAGAAGTTCCAACCTATGAAAACCAAAGCTAATGAGTATTAACCATATTTCTTGTTTTTTGTGTGCCTAATACCAGAAAAGACCCATAGTTTAACATTTCTGTTAATTTCTCCCCTATGTTTTCGATTCGTCAGTTATGTCCCAATGTTTAGCCTCCGTTAATAACTTCCGTTATTTTTTCACGGTCAATAATTGACCGATGACGTGTCATTTAAAAAGTCACTTTATTTGCCTGGTCATCACAAATTTAAGGACAGAAAAATAGTAAAAGATAAAAAAAAAGTAAAGTAAAAAGAGAGCAGAGGTGAATCGGGGGAACTCATTCGTTTCCTTCTCAAAGAAAAACTGGCCCGAAGAACCCTAACCAACAGAAAAGTGAATCTGGTCGATCTTCGAGCGGAATTGTCAAGTCGTCGTCGTGCCGCTGTCGTGACAGCGTCGCAGGCTTCGATTTGTCGGAGGCAAACAGTCGGTGGAAGTATGCTGCTGAGCCATTAGCTATGTGGCGCTGCCTTATTGAAATTAAGTACCCCAATCAGTCTTCTTGTTGGAGATCAGGGAAAGGGGACAACAGATTGGGGTGTTCCTTGTGGAAAAATATCCTGAAAGAAGAACCGGAGTTTTGGAGACATGCTTTTATTAACGCCGGTGGCGATGTGTGGGTATCATTCTGGAAGGATTGTTGGCTGCCTGGAGTGATCCTTGAAAATGCCTATCCGAAGGTCGCTGCTGCTTCTTCTTCCCCGGAGGCCTGGGTCTCTGATTTGGTATCCTTTTCTTCTGAGGGTTTGTCTTGAGATATCCCTTTGCGTTTTTTGCTAAGGGGTGGGGCTGAGAGGGATAGAATGAGATTATTGCAAATGCTTTCTTCTGTTTCTACTGATTTGATCTCTGCAGGACCCAGTAAGATCATGTGGCGACCTTCCGCAAATGCTCGCTTCTCGGTTAAGTCTTCTTATGATAGTAGTATGACCATCAAGTTCCCGGGCGAGCCTGATTTCCCCGCCAAAGCCATTTGGAGACCGCATGTTCCGTCAAAAGTGTCTGCGTTTATGTGGATGGTCATTCATAAAAGGATTCTCACCCACGACAATTTGAAGAAAAGAGGACGGGCCCTTGCTAGCAAATGTGTTCTTTGTGACAGCGAGGAGGAGACCGTTGATCACCTTTTCTGCAGTTGCAAGTGGAGTAATCAAGTTTGGGAGATTTTTCAGTCCGTAATGGAATTCATGGGACCCTTTCCATGCACTATTGACTCCCTGATAAGAGGTTGGCCACCGATCAAGCTTTCACCTTGGAATGAATGGTTCAACAGCAGGTTTATTCATGCATATTGCTGGGAAATCTGGAAAGAGAGGAACGACAGAATGTTTAATGAAAAAGCTTCGACGTGGAGAACAGTTGTTCGAAAGATCGGGAACAACCTCTTAAAGTGGAGTTCCGCTCATGGTGTCGTGAGTTCCGATGATGGTCTCATGTGGCTTCACTCGATTTACCTCGCCTGCCCTCTGATTCAGCCGATTGAAGCAAGCTGATTTTGTGAGAACTGTGCTACTCTGTCTTTCTCAGCTCCTTTGTTTCCAGTTGCTTCTTCCTCCTCTTCTTTCTTTCTTCTCTTTTTATTGGTTTGTTGCTTTTTCCTTCTTCTTGTTGCCCATGTCTTGATTTCTTCTTGCGATCTGTATGGTGCTTTCTTCTTCTTGTACTCTTGTCGTTATTTTTGGTTCTAATATATTCACCCTTATAAAAAACAGTCGGTGGAACATCGCAGGCTTGAAGTCGTCGGGTTCAAACCGACGGGCAGATTTGCAAGCTTCAGAATCGCTGGAGAATCTTCCTCTATAATTCAAATCGACGACTTCCTTCCTTCATCCTTCGACATCGATGGCATTCCTTTGATATAGAAGCAGTCGATTGAGACCTGAAGTTGTGTTCCCCCGATTTTCTCATCCTTCAACATCGACGGCATGCCACTGTCTCCTGCTTTCCCAAACCGCGCTGTCGCCTGACCTCGCTCTGCCCTTATTTTCGTTAGAGAAATAGAATACGAAGAAAGATAAGAAGGAAAGATAAATGTGTGGTGTGGACTCGGAGAAAGTATATATTTTTTCATATATAAAAATAATTCCACCGTGTGTCAATGACGTGGCAGACACCGTGTCACAATTTTGACCACCATTTAGTTGACCGTTAAGCTAACGGGCAACGGCTCATAGGAGGACATTATTGACGTCAGGGTAGTAAACATTGGGACATAACTGACGAATCGAAAACATAGAGGTAAAATTGACAGAAATGTTAAACTATGAGACTTTTTCTGGTATCAGGCTTTTTTTTTCTTCTTTGTTTTCACTTGCTAGTAATCATACAACTTTTGAAGGACACGTCATTTTTACAAGATATATAATGGCAAAACATGGGTTGGAATTGTCCCATTTCAAATTTCGTGGCCTGAGAGTGATTCTAGGAAGGTCATTTTTGTCATTGCACCCAGTTCTTTTTTATATATTAAAAATTTCATCATTGAAGTTCGAACCTTGGTCAATTCAATGAAGAAAGAACATTGTAACCAACTACGCTACATTGTCTTATAGTCATTTCTTTGATTAAAATCTAGAAATATATTTGGTGATGATGCTTCTATATTTATATTTTATCTTAAGTTATTTATATATTATGGAAAGAGATTATTTCTGAAATTGGAATTCAAGTAACATTCATTCAAACAATAATATTAAATTGTATGTGTAGTTTAGTTTAGACAAAATACAGAAATGTAACCTATACATGGACCTTTGTGACAAGTATATTCATTTTATTATGAAAAATATACACATAATGTAATGATAAAAATGAAAATGAGAGTCTCATTTCAAATTTCCTGGTATGAGAGTAATCATAGGAAGCTATTTTTCGTCATTGCGCCCAATTTATCTTTATATTATGTGTAGATTGTCACAAATAATTACTATATTTGTCACAAAGGTCAATGTTTTGGCTACACATATGTATTTTGTCTAAACTGAACCACACATGATACAATTTTGATATTTAATGTTTGAATCAATATTATTTCAGTTCCGATTTCACAATTAATCACTTTCTATAAGATATAATAATTTCAGGTAAAATACCTTTCCTTCTTGGTTGAAGAAGCTCTTTCTATAAGATACATTAAAACAAGCTTTTTCTATAAGATACATTTAATGTTTTAAGATTTTTCATTTGAAATTTTGTGAATTGAGAGTGAAAGTAAGAAGAGTAAGTTTGTCATCACAATCATTTATCTACTTCATATAAAAAGTATTAATATCAAGATTTGAACCATGGTCTCTTCAAACAAAAACAATAATCACAACCAATTACACTAAACAAATTTATTTTATCTACTTGAATTGTAAACATACACTAAGTGAAGATTTGAAAAGCAGATGGCTTTTCCATCACGGTTAGCTAGCCTATTAAATCTTCTGAAAATCAAAGTTTAATACGTGATTTATAATTTTTTATAACCTATACAATTTCAGATAATCTTAAAATTCCAACCCAAATTTCATTGCTTGAAATAATGCATATCAAATTGTAGCATTGAATATGCAAAAACCATGTAGAATTCTAAAAATTAATATAAATATTCAAAACTACTACGAAGCAATAATATTTTGTACAAACGACAGGTGAATGGTTCTCTAAAATTTTAGCCTGGTTAACTGCTAAACGTTAAACTTCAAGGGCTCGCGCACAAGTCCGAGCACCACACACTCTATATTGGTGAACTCATGTTTTATGGAGAAATGCGTCATTTGATAAAAATAAAATAAAAAATTCTAAAATAACATTTAAAATTTCAATTAATGAGTAGTTTTCACAACAACATGTGACGACTCATATTTCAAAAGGTTTATAAAATACATTCATTATTTATTTTGAGACTCAAACCTTTTCCAATTTATACAAATAAACACTCATTTATAAACTCATTCTTGATTAACTTCAGAGTTGAAATGTCTTTTTCACAGCCTGCAGTAATAACAAATAACGTTAACAATAACTTTTTTTTTCCAAGTAATGCCAAAGTACAATAGTTAAATCTTCTACCTAAAACCCCAAAAAGACAATTAATGAAGCCACCCTACAAAATCGAAGGACGCTATCTCTACAGGGGACAGCAGCAGGGCTTGTCTTGCCACTCTATGGGCAGCCCAGTTGACAGTCCTCGGGACCGAGCAAAAGCGAATACAAGAAGAACAAGAGCTCAATAACTGGAAACAATCACAAAGCAAAGGCCCGCCCATCGAGTCTTCACAGCATCTACCATCAAGTTGCCGGATAACTACTTCAGAATCACCTTCAATGATGGCCAGAGGAAGACTGCGAGAGTGAACTAAAGAGATGGCGTCTCTGGCGGCCATCAGTTCTGCAAGATAGGGATCCGAGACTCCTGGATGGTGGAATCCCAATGCCAAAAAAACTTGCCCCTCTGATCCTCGAACGACGAGACCTGACGAGCAACCCGGAACACGAACAGCGGCATCGAAATTGTTCTTGATAAAACCGTCGGGAGGACCAAGCCAACTGGAGATGCGAGAGGGCTGAGGGCGGGGAGACAAGATCTGTGGGAGGGAAGACACTGAAGCATATTCTTGGACTTGGAAGAAAAATTGGCGGGCAAGCAAGGTGGCTAGTGGTTGAGTAAATTCAAAGACCACTTTATTTCTAGATTTCCAAATTCTCCAAAGAAGGCAAATGCAAGGGAGATAGTGGATTTGGAAGTTTTCCGTTTTCATAACATGTCGCCACCAGATACCGAAGTTTTCGATTGGGGCGGAGAGAAGTAAATTGTTTAATCCCACCATATTCCAGAGGTGAAGAGCAGGAGGACAATGGAAAAAAAGGTGTTCAATAGTCTCTTGACTATCCCAACAAACCGGACAACGAACTTGACAGTTAATTCCTCGGGACCTAAGAGCCGTCGTAGTTGGCAAAATAACTTTCAGACATTGCCATATAAAGAACTTAAGCTTTGGTGGAACATCAAGAGCCCACATTCCTTTCCAAATAGGAGGGTCAATGATGGAGGCCATCGATTTTTGGCTAAGATTTAAAATATTATCCAGGGCAAGATGATAACCTGTTTTTACCGAATAAGTTCCGTTTTTGGTAAAGTGCCAAATTAATTTGTCTTGTTGTGGAAGTAAGGGAACTACCAAATTACGAATGAGATCAACCGACTTTTCTTGGAACCAGTACCTTAATCTAGGGATGTGCCATTCCCGTAGGTCTTCTCTGATGAAAAAGGAAACCCTTGGATTGAAAATATCCTCTTGCCGCCTCAGCTCAGGAGGACAAGGCTTATCTGCTAATAACCAATTATCTTTGAATGTTCTTATATTGTTTCCATCACCTACTTGCCATCGTAAGCCTTGCACGAGTAGTTCTCGCCCATAAAGAATACTTCTCCATCCCCAGGATGGATTAGAACCTATGGTTGCTTCCAAAATCGTATTTTCATTGAAATATCTTCCTTTATACAATCGGCTAATGAGAGAATTAGGATTCGACCAAATACGCCAACATAGCTTAGCTAAAAGAGCTTGATTAAAAGCCCTAAAGTCCCTAAACCCTAATCCTCCATGAAACTTTACTTTGGGCGAGACCTTTCCATGACACCCAATGGATTGGATGATCAAAATTAGTAGCAGAACCCCACCAAAACCTTGCCAAGAGGCCATTTAAACGTCTACACGTATCCATTGGGAATTTAAAGCACATCATACCATGAACTGGTATATTAGTGGCCGAGGTTCTGATTAGAGTGTCCTTAGCTGCTTTGGACAGGGTACGTTGTTTCCAACCTTGCAACTTTTTGTCCATCTTCTCCTCAATATACAGGAATGTATCCTTTTTGGTTCTTGGAATTAAGGAAGGAAGACCCAAATAAGAATCCTGTTCTCCTATAGCGCCAACTCCCAACTGTGAGCCCATGAGACTCGCATCTTCTCCCTTAGTATTTTTACTAAAAAGTACTGCCGATTTGGAAAGGTTAACCTTTTGTCCACTCAGTCTTTCATAATCTTGGAACAATGATAATAGAACGTTAACAATAACTTTAGAAGCAAGTAAAGTTACTGAGATTTAGTATCTCTTTGCAAATGTGTGTGTGTTTTAGGGGGGGGGGGGAATTTTGGTCTAAAAAGTTTGTGGAAGGGGTTGAAAATATATCATTTGTTCGAATATTGCATATTAAATTGGAGTATTGAACATTTGGAAGAGATATATAATTCTTATATTATTATTAATTTTCAGTACAGTTGACCAATGGCCTTAGACCTCTTTCTAATATGACATGATTGGATCCAATAATCATAAGATGAGATTTAGTTCAATATGCTGGTTCAAAATCATTTTTTATGTGTAATAAATTTGTACGACAAATACATGTAAATAAGTGAAGATGAACCTGATTATGCATTTTGATTCTTTTGATAAATAAAATGGTTTAAGCGATGGACTAACTATATACTCACTCAATTGGTTTAACAATTATTGTTTTTATCACTTTTAGTAATTAGTTTATTCACAAGCTATCAAACTACTTTGCTCCGTCGATGAATAAACGCTCAAATGTTCGGATGGATTCAGGTGCTCTTTTTCACACTATAGACTGTGAATGGAGAAGAAACATTTTGAACGCAAAATTCGAGAAGTAATTGGGATGTTTCTCGATTTCTCTCGATTCTAGACGGTGGGAAGAAAGAGTAAGGGAATGGGGAGAGTGGTAAGATACAAAACTGAGAGAGAGATGGAAGAACAAATGGAAAAAGAAGGGGGAATGCAAAAAGAGAGTAAGAGAACACATTTAAAAGAGGGGGAAAATGATGTAATGTGAAATAATTGTCCTTCTCCTTTGCTCAGAGGGTATTGTTAACCCTCTTCTGTTGAGTTTTGATTTATTTTAGGGGATGACATTATATTTGACGGATTTTTCCCATTTCAATAAATCCTAAATCAATATTATCATTTGGATGATTTTTTCTTTAATATGATTATTTTAATTTATGAGATTTAAGGTGTATTTGATAATGTCAACATTTTAGTGATTTTTAACTTTAAAGTATGAATTGAAAGATCATACCTACCGGTGGTTCGACCATAAAACTTCACACCATAGGCTAAATTGGTAGGTGATATATATAAAACGGTTGAACCACGGTTAAATTATGACTTCGGTATAAAATACTCTAATACCAACTTTTTTATACGATTTTACAATAATTTGGTTCAAATAATTCTTTTACACCGGTGGAAATAAAAGTTTTAAGGTTCATTTTGAACAATCTATTGCAAAAAAGCATAAGTGAGTTAGCGATAACGAGAATATGCGATCTCATTCAACCCAAATGACACTTTGCAACTTATATATCTTTTTAAAGTAAGTGTATGCTACTCTTATCCTCGCTCATTCATCAACTTAATGAGTAACATATATTTCGTATAATATGATTTTCATAGATTTTTTATTTATTGAATTACTTCATGAAAAAAAATTGCTACAGTAAAATTTATTACATTGTTGCTAGACATGTTTGTGTTATGAGAGTAATTTGGGAAGTTCGTACGCAATACATTGTTCAACTAACTATTAGCGAAAACTTAACATCATGTTTTATATATTTTTAATCAAGTAACTTCAGGAAAAGAACTTAAAGGACATACTAAATTCTATGAGATATATTTTCTTTCATCATAAATGTTAATTATGTATGTATTATGATAAGCAACTCTAATATTAAACTATATGATATAATTAAACAACGAATGACAATAGTTTATTTATTTCTTTTTCCATTCAGTAATTACATGTAATGCTTATACCATACTTTTTTCTCTTTTCATAAAGGTCTAAACACATTATGCATAGTTAGATCACTTTCAAATATGTTATGTGCATAACTAAGGGTTTTTTTTTTTGACAAAAGATAATCATATATTGATTCCACAAAAATAGGCAATTACATCCTGGAGATCAGCCAGGCCTGAAAATCGAAAGAACGACTCGTAGTCGGGTACAAAGCAAGGGCCTTTCGAGCCACCAAATGGGCTACCCAATTACTACTCCGACCTACAAAACGAACACTAAACCCCGGATTACTAGACCACACTCGCACCACCTCTTCCAGTATCGCCACATCCGGTTATCCCTTGTATCGGCCTGCAAGATCTTATCAATAACCACCTTGGCGTCCCCTTCAAATCTTACCTCCGTGAAACCATGCTCAAGACACCAAAGAATACCCTCGCGAAGGACAAGCAGCTCCACTATCATGGGATCATCAATTATCGGAAATTGGACACCTTTAGCCCGAAGGACATCTCGAGAGGGGGTCATCAAGACCAACCCCCCCGCCGAATGAGAACCTCTCCTAGTAGCCCCATCCCACATGCAAATTACCCCTGTATGCCCCGTCAGGCTTGGTTGCTGAGACGGAGGATGAGTAGACTGAAGAGCTTTATCCCTCGGGAGGTGAACTCACTCCTCATATTGCTGGGCAAACTGGCGCATCAATGCCGGGTACCCAAACTGCTTACCTTCAAAGACTACCCAGTTCCGAGACCGCCAGATTCGCCAGAGGACCGCAACTACTCCCATAAGCAGAGTCGGCTGTTGAATTAAAGCCATCAATCTTTTGAGGAAAAGGGGGAAACTATGTCGAGGAAGCCCCTCCCCTAAGTATTCCAGCCCCGAATAGCCCCACATGGCCCGGGCCACTGGACAGCCAAGAAACAGATGGTGCATAACTAAGGTACAAACAATCATTTCGTATATTTTAAATCATCTATTATATCCATTATTATATACCATAGTTTTTGACAAAATTCTCCCGACCAACGGGCCGGATCCAGTGCTAGTATATATTCTATAAAAAAGGCACCGAGAGGGGATGAGGAATAGAGAAACACAAGCTTTTTAATACATTAAAAAAAAAATTGGTGGGCTTACATCTTGGACTTGTTTATTATGAACTTCTTTCTTTCTTTCATTCTTCTTTTCCATTACTGAAAGCTGCAGATGGGGTTCATCAACAGTTGCTTGGGAGACAAGAGAACCTGATCCCCTTTGCTTTGGTCAACGGAACTAATTGTGAAGAGTAAAGATTGAACTTTGAATCGACAGCAAATGGCCACTGTGGATGGCTCAACTTAACTCAACTCAACTCGATGTTACCACCTTTGATCTCCTTTTTCCTTTGTGGGTAGCAATGTATAGTTGGGGTTGACGTCCGCCAAACTTTATTCAAATTTAGAGTATAGTAGATGAGTTTGATTTCCATTACTACGAAATGGACCAATGTAATCTCTCTCGGGAGACAAAAAGCTTCTCATTGATTCGGATGTGGATTCCTCCAAACGAGAGTTTTGACCAAGCTTAGTTGTAGAGCCATTCAAGCTCGATCGGTATAGCGATGGCGTGAGCACTAATGTAATGTTATATTAGGCAACATGATATATACAACATCATGCATGGTGTCTTTCATTGGATAGCGAAGAAGACGTTTGACGAACTAACGAGTTAGGAGAACGACTCAACTGGTAAAACATTTAATTGCATTTCACTGAACCAAAATCAAGGACCATCGTTTCTAACTAAAATAACTTTAGGATATAAAATTGACAACCTATAATTTATGGTATACCAATAGGTATGCTATACCCCAAATTTATCGAGGTAACCTATACCTTCTCATATAAATATATATACATGCATAAACTAATCCAAGCAAGCAAACAGAAAACAAACTTTTCATGGAGTATAGGTGGAATTGTTTTAGAGGATGACTTTGATGTCATTTTCTTTCTTCCCTGGTAAATTTACCTCTTGCGGGTACAAGAATTGTCCCTTTAATGGCGCCAATTTCCACGAAGTGTTTTTCCGGGATTTTTTGCAGCAACAATGGTCTTTCTGCCCGTCCCTTTTTAAATTTCAACTAAGCTTGGCACAGCTGCCTAAGAAATTAGGTCACATAGACGATCAAGTTACCATAGAAAACGCAAATGGATTGGTTGAGTCTATTGACTTAACCCAACCGGTAGTTAAACCCAAGAGAGGGCTTATCCCACAAGCAGACGGAAAGCTACCGGTTGCAAAGGAATGAAAAAGCTAAATAGAAGATGATAGTATCCCCAAGACTAGTACCAAATCCTACTCTTTTATCAGAAGCATGTGGCATGCATGTGGAAGCAAGGGAAGGTGTAGCGGCTGGAAGAAGAGATTCTCTAACCTTAGCGCCTAACGCAGAAAATGTTATATTATAGATAGTTTGACTATTTGTCGATTGTCGTGTTTGACTGTATGCTATTCTCTAACTATTTATTTTACCCAATCTATGGGAAAAAATCCAAAATTACCACTATAAAAAAATTACAAAAATACCAGCCATACTTAACAATTTCCGAAAATACCACCCTCCCACACAAAACGCGCCTCGAAGGCGCCGTTCTAAGTCAAAACGCGCCTCGTAGGCGCGGTTCACATTCAAACCGCGCTTTCAAGAGGCGGTTTGACCCTTCCTATCTGTCAAACCGCGTCGCCAAGTGGCGGCCCATGCGACCGCGCGACGAGGAGGCGATCTGACGGCCAAACCGCGCGCCAGCTCAGCGATCCGCATCGCTCAGTCAAACCGTTGCCCCGAGGCGCGGTTTGCGCGTTGGAAAACGTAAACCGTGTGCTGGAGGCGTGGTTTTAAGTGGGTAAAAAGACGAAATCGCCCATCCAGCACGCGGTTTCGTCCCTATATAAACCCGACCCTCCTCCCATTTTCTGCACACCAAAACCCACATTCCCCCCCTCTCTCTAACTCCTCACTCTACCCACCCCATTCCCCACCCAAAAACTTTAGAATTAGTTGTTTTGTTGGTTGCTGCTAAGCCCGATCTGCCTTCAAAAAAACTTTTTCTTTGGTTTTCACTAAAAAACCGTCGAATCTCTGTCCGGATTCTGAAAAAATGGCTGATTTTATCCAAGAAAAGGGTATTTACTATGATGATTATCAAGCGGTACATACTCATTTTACCCAATTGTTGTTGTTTTAATAATGATTTATATAATTTATATACTAATTGATTTATGTTGTTGTTATGCTATCGTAGATTGGGTCGGATGATGATATATAGAATCAACGATATTATGTTGATCAAGGACCGATTGATCTGACTATTTTATAAGATCAAGCCAATCATCGTTCAAGAGACGTTTGGAACGACCACAAAGTACATATTATTTATCATCACTTGTAATTTTTATTTTGTTAAAGTGATTTATTTGTTTGTACAATAATTTACTTAATTGTTAATCGTATTGATTATTTTCAATAATTTAAATCAATACAATACAACACTTATTTAGACTCTTTATAAAGAAATGCATGTCTAAGGAAATGGGGTCTTAAGCGATCATCATGATCCCCCCATGACCTGGGAAAATCGGGTTCTAAGCGATCCTCGAATCCCCCCTTTTCTGTCAAAAAGACTGTGTTTCTAAGGAGATGTATACCTCTCCTAAGAGTCTTACGAGTGTACTTGTATTGCTTTAAATTATTGAAAATAGTCAATACGATTAACAAAATAATATATTTAATTTTATGTGAATGTGTACAAAAAATAATTGTACTTAAATTTTGAAAATTATTTCAGTTATGTTAAAATTAATGTTTATTAGATAATGTATATTTCTCTAAAACAACCTTGATTTAATTAATATTGCATCTTATAATATATTTATATATATGTATAAATCATCAACTTATAGTGAAAGTTAAATTCTTCTCTAGGATGCATACCATATAGTTCACTACAGGGGCACGACGAATGTGCTTGAATGGAACGATGTCATCTTGGGGCAGCGGTTTACTTTGCACAAACCGCCAGTGGGGGAAGCGGTTTATGTCTGCACATGGTAAACCGCGGTCTGGTGGTGCGGTTTACCAAGCCGACATATAAACGCTCTCTCACGAAGCGTTTTGTGGTAGGGAAGCCGTATAAACCGGGCCTTCGAAGAGCGGTTTTACATTAAATGGAAAACCACCTGTTGACCAGGCGTTTCTGATGTAAACCGCAGCCTGATGGCACGGTTTATATAGTAACCGCCCATTAGAGACGCGATTTTTAATAAAAGGTGGTATTTTTGGAAATGGTTGGGAATAGGTGGTATTTTTATATTTTTTTAACCGTGGTTGTTTTGAATTCTATGGGTAAAAAAACAGAAAACAAAATTTGAAGCGACTTCATGCGGTTAAAGGGGGGAGATATATAGAAATGGCCGGACCAAAATTACGTGGATGAACCGAATGCCATCAATCCAACAAGGCAACGACACGTTACCGGCCGTTTGGTGGATTGGTGATGTTTTTATTCTAAATAAAAGTGAATTGAGGCTTCGTTTCGTCATCCCACATTGTGTTGGCATTTGACATGACATATAAAAATCAATTAATGGAAGATTAAATGCAAATAATTAACGTCAAAATATTTTATATATATGTTTTCGCCGTCGAGGCTCTAAATTAGTAAATTCTAATGCTTGCCATTGTTGTCATGGAAAAGGAAAATCAATAATTTTTCATATTGATTTCATAGCATGCACACATGTACATTTCCATCCTAATCACATCGATCGTATTCCGGGTACGTAAATATAAACTAGGAACGGAATTTTACATGTCGACAACGTGCACGTATTTATATTGATTTGATGGTAATGGTTCGGTTCAGGGATGAATAGTGGATATTTAAACAAGGTTCGGGTAGTAAATTAGATCACATTTATAGATGTTTGAGGGCAGAGATTAGGTGGTAACGCTCAATTTGTTACGATTGTATTAACTCTAGCTTCAGCCAATACAAACATTTTATTTTGATCTTTTTTATTCTAAAGGGTTGACCACAAGTAAAAAGAATTTATAATGGGAGGGGTGCACTTGTCATTATTATAATTAGAGAGAAACATGCATATGATGAAGCTCCGTCTCGCCATCACCACAAGGATCACGAAGCAGACCACACAACACATACCAGAAATAGAAAAAATCACACTAGTATATGTAATAAGGCTATAGGCATAGAGAAAATGTAGAATTCTTTGATACGTATTCACCAGTATCTGTAATAACATCCATTCATATAATGATTGCTCTTAATGCCTTGAACAATCTTGTTGTGCATCACATGGATGTCAAAACTAATTTTCTGAATAGTGATTTTGAAAAAATCTACATGGGCCAACCTGAAGGGTTGGTTATTCCTGAACATGCCTCTTCAGTTAGTAAGTTAATTAGAAAAGTCATTGTATGGTTTAAAACAGGCTCTAAAACAGTTGCATGAAAAGTTCGACAATATGGTTTGCTCGAATGGTTTTAAAGTGAATGAAAGTGACAAGTGCTTTTATTACATATCCGAAAATGACATTTGCACTATCATATTTTTGTGTGTGGATGACACGTTGATATTTGGTTCAAATACAGTGTTGTGAAAACAATGTTGTGTGAGAACTTTTAAGTGAAAGATATAGGTGAAGCAAATGGTATGGTTGGAACCCAGATACCTATGACAGAAAATTGATTTTATCTAGATCAAATCTAGTTACATAGGAAAGATCTTAAAGAAATACAATTACTTTTACGGTAACCTACATGTTCTCCATATGATGTGACTGTAAAGATATTTAACAACACTGGAGACAGTGTAAGACAATATGAATATGCTAGCATCATTTATAGTTAACGATATGCAACTGATTACACTATACCAGACAGTGCATATGTCGTGGGATTGCATGGCAGGTTTAACAGTTTTCCTAGTATAGAGCATTGGAATGCTACTGAAAGGGTTATGAGATACCTGAAGAGAAAAGCTAATCTTGGTATATACTATTAAAGGTTTCCTGTTGTAGTCAAAGGGTATAATGATTTCAATCTTCTGATCTCGGACATTGATATGATCCTAAATACCCCCTTGCGCAAGGTTGAATTTCTTGCCAAAGGATCCATTCATGTTGCAAGGAAAAGGGGAGGAATTTGGCTAAATATAAACCTGTGTCATGGTGCTTACTTTGGAGGTTCATATCTTACATTCTCGTCGATGGAAATGCAAGAGGAAGGTTGAGATTTGAAGAACAAGAGTTTGTTTATGACTCTGAAGGATTGGTTGCTCCATTAAAAGTCTTTAAGTGCATGAACAAGAGTGCCCAAGTTGCTATGAAGATACTAGGAATTGTCTGATTTTTGGCCAAGTGTGGAGATAGTTCGAGTTGCCTACTTTGAGGGCTTATTCGAGACGACTGAGGTACAATCGAAGGAAGGTGGGAGTTGGATAATGAAGTTGGAGACTTGTTGAAGAAACGACTGAAGCCCAATTGGCTCGAAGCTCCTTAGAAAGCTTGAAACGAGAGCCTCAAAGTAGCTATGGAGGCTGCGTTCATTACTTGCGCAGGAAGTCAACTACCTTATATTAAGCAATTGAGATTTCTTTCCTTTTCTAGTTTGGATTTCTATTTCCTTGTTAGAGTTTGATCTAGAGTAAATTCCTTGTTACATTAGAGTTCAATTATAGTTTGTTGAATGCTATTAAAAGGCTTGGAAGCCTCAATGTAAACTTAATTTTTAAGAGCTAATAGAAAACGTGACATTGTCACCAAACCCTTCGTTGTTGGTCGAGTTCCAGCATCATTTGTGCTTCGTATCGATTGAAAATCACATCAATCGTGGTCGAGCTTCGATCCTAATCCAATCGAGCTCCTTCCCTTGTGTGAAGTTGCATCTTTGGTCCATTTTAGTTTTTCAATTCGCACACAATTCAATCAAGTTCTTCTCGTTTGAATCCCATTCACGTGACTCTGATACGCACAAGCCAAGACATTGCATATGTTGTCAGATTGCTTGGCAAGTTTAACAGTTGTCCTAGAATGGTGCATTGGAATGCTATTGAAAGGGTTATGTGATACCTTAAGAGAAAAGCTCATCTTGGTATTTACTATCAAAGGTTTCTTGTTGTATTCGAAGGGTATAGTGATGCATATTGGAATACCCTATCAGACGATCCAAGACAACCAATGGGTACGTTTTTAACATCGTTGGAGAAGTTGTGTCTTGGAAGTCTAAGAAACAAACTATCTTGGTTGAGAGGATTATTGGCAGGGATTTCCTTATTAAAGATCGGTGTCACCGTTATTAATCCAATGTGATAGCACTGTCTATTGCTAAAGTTGAGAACCATTACTATACATCAAGAGATGATAGAATCATTATAAGCACCGTACTGTAAGAGAGTTTCTACAAAAAAGAGCAGTGAGGGTGGATCATGTAAGATCATATGAGAATCTAGCTAATCCTTTGATGAAAGGATTAGGCATAGAGAATGTCCAAAGTATTGCCAAGGTATGGGACTAATCTCAATACAACGATGAATCATATATGATGGTAACCCGGCCCATAGACTAGAGATCCCAAGAAATGAGTTCAATTGGTAATAACAAGTTGTGTGTAAAATGAGATAGATCATGCATAGTGAAGCATGAATTCCTGAAGCTTATATAGGTTAAGGTAATAGTAACTCTTAATGAAATTTATACTCCATGTAGAGTGAAGTGCATTCCTTTGAGATCTTCTGATAGACTCGCCAAAGTGAATGTGGAAGTGTGACCACTTCATATGAAATTTTGGGGGCACAAAAATTCTAGAGCCTTCACTAAATTGGGATAAACTTGCAGGGCCAAAAATGCACGAGATATTAGAGAATAACTATTAAAAGATACATCGTGTTGCATTATCAAAGATAGATTTCAAGACAACGAGTCACTCTTGTTGAATATGAAGTGTAACCACTATGGGTTCAAATCGAAAGATAACTTAGTTCATTCTCGATCTTATATGGTTATTGATGCCCATATATAGTTTCGAAACAATTCAAGTGGTGGATTGTTAGCGTGAATAACTTTTGAAAGCTATATATGAAATCTCATATGGAATACTACATTGGTAAGAGAAGCCTGGAAAAAGGTGTATAAAGATATGCCTCTTTCTCTAAAGGGTGTACTCCTTGGGGTTTGTGGGAAAGAGAGGACCCTAGGGACCTCCATACCACACACACGTGTGCAGGTAGGTTGGTCGAACGAGTGGGTGGGGTTGGTCGGCTTGAGACTATAATTGTTGGAGAAATTCTGTATTAAGTATCATGTATATTTTCCATATACAAAATCAAGAAGGATAATGAAATAAAAGGAATATTCGGGAGATAATTCGAATTGATATCTTACTAGAATGTATTTTTAATTACAAGAGTAATTATCTTTCTAATTTAAACATGACTTATTTAAAATTTTCTGCTACTATCATGGTTGTTAACCAGATTTAGCTCGTAGGTCTAGTTGGGTAAGTGGGTTGA